AATGACTTGAGCCGCGGCTGCGCCTCTATCTGGCTGCATGCATGTGTGTGTATATATATATATATGTGTGTGTGTGCGTGTGTGTGCGGTTGTGTGAGTTGTGATTGTTATACCGTGGGAAACTGTTTCGCAGCCGATTTCCACGACGACGACGACGGCTGGCTGCCTGGCCTGACTTCTTCTGATTGTGCATGCTTGGGGTCTTTGGCTGTCCGTCCCGCCGTCCGCCTGGCCTGGTCTGACGGCCCGCCTTAAGAGCTCTGACTGTGGCAGAGCGGCAGCCAAGCGAGCACATGCCTTCCATCCATAACAAGATGTTTGCATTTCAATTCATTTGTATGTGGCCGGGTATTTGGACTCGAGCTCAGAGCTCTCTGCTGGTGCTGGTGCTGGTGCTGGTTCGTCGTGGGTCTTGTCTTGGCTGCAGCTTGCCATGTGCCTTCGCCTTCGCCTTCACCCTTGCAGTAGCTTATGGCACGCTGATAATTGTGGAATCGTCATCGCGCAGCAGTTTTTTCTTGTTGCTTTGTTTTGTTTTTGTTTTTGTTTTTATTTTTGTTGCATGTATGTATGTATTTTTTTTAACGCTTTATGGATCATTGATTGGGATCGTGGGCTTCGTGGGCCAAGCATTACGCTTTTCGTTTACATGATTATTCTTGATTGCCCATTGCGACGACCACTGTACGGGCTTTGGGATCTGTTGGTGTGTGTGTTTTTGTTGTTTTGGATTTTTGGTTCGGGTACGGCTTATGGCTCGGACTACTTCTACCATTTGTAGACAATTACCGGCTTGACTGGGCAGGCAAGAGGCAAAGCATTTTGTGCGACGTGTGCGCGAAAGTCAGTTTGTTGTTGTTATAGTTGTTGTTGTTGTTGTTGTTAGCACACGCTATAAATGCTGTTGTTATGAGCGGCTGTATGTGGCTCGTGGGGTGTTTGAGGCTTTTGTCACGTCACGAGTGATTTGAACTTTTTAGCACATATTTATATTTAGCACGGTTTTAATCTGTGATTCATTCACTATTCGCAAATTTAGCGCAAATATACATATGTATGCATTTATCATATCTCCAATTCAGCTATTTATAGCAATCTTTGACACACACACACACACACACAGCTCGAATTTCACAACACTTAATTAGAAGTGCCGAACCGACGAAATTACATTGAATATGACAACACAAGTGGCGCATCATCAGCGCCTGACAAAAAAAAAATCAAAAAACAAACAACAGCAACAGCTGCAGCTACAGCAACAGCAACACCAACAACAACAATAAACGGAGCAGAAGACAAATTAAGTTGGCGTTTTGTACGCATTTCAAATGAGCTACAGTTAACAAATGTTAACAGCATCATCTTCATTTTGTCCGACTGCCGTTGTTATTGTAAGTAGTTGTTGTTGTTATTGTTGGGCCGTTAATTGAGGCGCGCGCGTCGCTGTCAAAAAGCTGCCTGCTCCGGAAATGGCTAATTGGACTGAGAGTGAAAAGTGTGTGTTTGTTAGTGTTGTAAAACATGAAGTTTATTCAAAGGAATAGGGGTCGCAATTGGGTTCGGTTTCATGAGGGTTGCTTGCCCTTGAGCAGCAATATAACAAGAATATTAGATCTGTCATGTCCCAAACTAATAATATACGTGCGTTCATAATAGCATATATCATGTATCAACTGTATCTGAACTATCTAGACGAACTACATTGTTATTCTAAGCGGCACAAAAAAAGCACACTTCATTCCAAAAGTGGCTCTGCATTTGGCTTATATACAATAGATGAGCTTCAAATATACCATGGATTCATGTAATAGTTTTTGTTATTCATGATAATACGGGTTTCGTTAAAGATATCGAGTTTCTTTATAAATTTTAATGGAAATCGCCAATTTAATAAATTGTGTATTGCTAATTTATTTTTAAATGTGTTTAAATATACATTAAATATGCAATATTGCTTGAAGATCTGCGACTACACATTAGATATATACATATATACATAATATACTTATGTATATGTTTGTATACCAAAAAATATTAAATCCCAGTCGGTCCTATTTTTGTCCCCTATAATAATGGCAATTACAAAAAAAAACCTTACTTTCAACTAAGTACATACATCATTGAACAGTCATAACTAGCATTAGTCTCTGGAGGGACTTTAATTGTTATTGCTCAGAGCTCTAATTACAATTCGAATGACTCATACGCACTGTGTGCCCATGCAATTTTACAATCTGCCCAGCAAAAATGCGTAGCGCATTCCTTACAGTCGCCCAAAACCAACTTAACTACCCACACACACACATACGCACGCACACACTCAAACTCACTCATACATTAATTCTCGGCAAAAGCACAACGAAGACCTCATTTCTCCCGCTTTGGTCGTTTTTTAAGCATTTTTTTTTATTTTTATTTTTGTAAAACAATTTTTATTTTTTTATCGATGGCATACGCACGCGCGAATTTTAGTGCCCCCGCTGCGCCGGCGACCAACTTTGGGCCAACAACAACAGCAACAACAGCAAGAGAGCGTGCACAGGCACAGGCCCAAGCCCAGAGACCAAGCCGGGCAACAACAACAACAACAGCAACAGCAACAACTATAGCGTGTTGTTGAATTAATTTATATCCAACAGTGCGCTTTCAACTTTATTGCGCCGCGAAAAGCAGCCACAGCCAGAGCCAGAGCCACAGTCAGAGCAGAGCCAGCAGCGTCAGCAATGTGTTCAGCGCCCCCCTGGAGACCGCCCCGACACCGTCAGCTCCATAACGCCGCCAGCAACCCACACAGAGACAGAGACGGCAACCCATCCATACCGACAAAAGGCACACTGCGGAGCAGTGGGGCAGACACTGGCGCACACAGATACTCGACAAGGCACAGACACATGCGCAGTGCCAGACCGTGGGAAACAAACTCGTGCCAGTCGTTTCATTGCTGTCAAATAATATCTTGATGGGGATCAACTTGAAAAGATTGGTTGGGGCTGGCTCGTTGCCGCTGCTGTTGCCCCATGTTGTTGTTGTTGTTGTTGTTGCTGTTGTTGTTGCTGTTGTTTGGCGAGTCGTTGCTGGCCGCTGTTTAGGATGCGGTCGACGCTTTTGTTTTTTGTAGGTCTCTTTTTAGTCTTTTTAATACTTTACACATTTGTTCGTCATACCCCAACCGCTGAGTGTGTGTATGTGTGTGTGTGTGTGTAGCTATAGCCATGGTCGCAACTCGGCTTGGAAACCAGTTTGCCATCCGCCAAAGCGAGGCTGCGTCTGCGTCTGCTGGCTGCTGTGGATGCCAGCACATACTCGCTAAGATCACATAAAAGACCCGGCACGCCCCACACACTGCCCGTCCCACCGCCTGACCTGGCGAACAGCCACAACTTTCGGTCAGCTCAGTTCGTGAATGGTGGCTGTGGCTCGCTTTTATGATGCACTGTTTGCGCTGTGTGTATACACACATGCGAGCACTTGGCACGTTGCCCATTATCTTGAGAACGCTGCAGGCTTCAGTTACTCAAGTGCACATATCATATTACCACATGGGCCTGAGACCGGACCAACACAATATGAAAGAGCTTACAGCCAACTGCACCCCCAAGGGCTGAAGTATAAGCTGTCAATGGTCTTCCCCCCAGCAGCAAATGACACATGCAGGCGCTTCAGTCTCAACTCTTCTCTCTGATAAACATTGTCAGCATGTCTTGACGGGAGGGCTGCCCAGGCATTTTACACAGTGAATCCATTAGCTGCAACGATAACATAAACAGAGGCCAAGGCAAAACCCCCCCCTGGTTGGTATCTAATGTCATTAAATATAAGAAAGAAAAAGTATCTTCAAGATACGCGCCTATTGGAACATTAATCCCAAGCGTATGCCAGCTCACTTCACACACACTTTTGAGTCGCACTCAACTTATAGATAGTCCCTCTGCCCCCTGTGCATTAAGTGTGTTTCACACACACGCAAAGAAAAATAAAAATTAATTAAAATATCTATAAGATTTCAGAAGGGAGCGTGAGCGTCAAATAAGGGCGCATATATGTATATTGAAATCGAAGACAAGTGGCAGCCACATTTATTGCTGCAGGGTTCAGGTTTGGGGTGCGAGTTCGAGTTCGAGTTCCACCACAAAAAATCCGTGTGGGAAAGTTGAAAATCAAAAACGGCATAACAAGTGATTTGAAATGCCCATACAAATATAAATAGCAGGACCGATGCAGGACGAATGTTGTGGCAATGCGTGGGAATGCCGGATTTATTTTTTTCCCAATTTCGGTTCTGGTATCCCCTGGGTAAGGCCTTTATGTTGATTGCCCATTAGGACAACAATTTGCACTCCTTTTAACCGTATGATCCCATGCACAAATATTGGGCACCGCTTTCAGTATGTGTGCACGTCGAGTCCTGTCTTCCTTCGAGTCGTGAGAAATTTTACGAAGGAACACCTGCCTGTTGTTATTCAGTTCGATGCCGGAGCCACTTGAATACATTTCCTTAACATTTTAGGGTACCGAAAAATTGTTTCCCACACTTCGTATAGCCGAACAGTTGCACTTTTTTTCTTCTCTTTTTTCCTTAGAGCTGTATGGACCGGGGGTACATTTACGTTTCCTTAGCGGCTCACTCGCTCCACTCTCGATTCCCGACTACTGACTTCCTACATACAGAGAAACAGGCTCGTCTCTGGCTACCTGCTGCCCTTACCAGAGCCTCGCAGCGGCTTCAAATTTCAGGTTCTCGCTCGCTCACCAGCTAACCAACCATCTTATCTCTCTTGCCACGGCCGTTTTTCAATGAGGGTGAGGTGCGTACCACGTACGCGTGTCTGTCGGAGGGTCTTTCTGCGTTTCCTTAACTGTGTCTCTCTCCCTTTATGTGTGTGAGTGTGTGTGTGCGGCCACAGGAAATGCATTTTGTTTGGCTGCGCTGCCGCTGAGCGGAGTGGAGCGGAGCGGAGCGTTCAGACAGCTATAAAAGCGGTTGCCTTTCGGTTGGAAAATCATTCTGACATCGTCAGCGTTTCAAGCAACACCCAGCATAGCACACACACACACACGCTTTTCCATTTCAAATTCAAAAATGTGCCAACAAGTCGCCATCAGCAACAACGACAACAACAACAACAAAATGAAGAACAGCTACAGCATTAAGCAAGTCTTGAAGACGCTCTTCAAGAAGCAGCAAAAGCAACAACAACAGAAACATCATCGTCAGAACTCATTGGAATCGCTCGAATCGGTGGACAATTTGCGCAATGCCGAGGTCGAGGAGGTCTACTATGCCGAAATCGACGAGAATGCCGCCAACGAGAAGCTCGCCCAATTGGTGCAAGAGCAAGAGCTTGACACCGAGGAGGACATCTATGTTCCCGTACGCTTTGCACGCACCGAGGCCGGCACCTTCTTCTGGACCACAAATCTGCAGCCGGTTGCCAGCATCGATGCTGATCTGCTGCAGCCCGCCTACTGCTACTCCAGCCAACAGCATCCGTTTATGCAGTATCAGGATCGTTGGGCGCAGGCTTAAGTCCAATACTCAAGCCCCATCCTCAAACATCAACAAGCTTTAAATGCATACAACATTGTGATAGCAGTGGCAGCAGCAGCAGCCGTACTTAATTTTAACTCAAACTCAACTCAGCGATCCCAGCGCTTCCATTAGTTCTTAAGACATTGTGATAGAAAATGAGAGCTTTACAAACAATTACTATAACAAAACGATATTTTACAAAATACAAAAAAAGATATCAAAAACTCAAATTATATTGGCTTCTAATTGGTTTTGGTTTTGGGTTTCAGTTTTATCATCAAAGCAGATCCTAAAAAATTCTTATGCACAATCCTTTATGCATCTTAGGCATTGTTATGACGTCTGGCATTCCATTCAATTGAGTAGCTGGTAAACATGTTTACAATATGAGATTTTGTTTATGTTCTGCTCATAAAATGTCACTCGTCTACGTGACAGATAAGATACATATTTTTGGATGCGATGCGCTGTTTCTAGACACATTTTGTGGAAAGTTTCGGTTTTCTTCGACATGTGACGTCAATGAAGTTATGCGGCATGATGATATAGAGTCATGTATCTGCAATTGTTACTGTTACTAAAACAGAGACAATTGATTTTCGTGTGTTAAGTATGAATTCTATTTTTGGAATTCGTTGATAAATTACAGCTGAAGCTAAATGTTTGAAATGAGACTAGAGATGATGGGTCTAAATAATATGCAAAGTTTGTATATAAATAAAATATGTAAAATTAAACTGTAGAGAATGCAAAAGAAAATTATGAAATAGAATGGAATGAAAAAAGTAGAAGCTATAAATAAAATATAGTATATCAAACAAGTTTAAACAAAATTAGCTTGCAGGCCTTTAGTTAAAATAGGACCCTACAGAGTTTAAAGACTTAAAAGACGTGTTTTAAATATTTTAAGAATATTTTATTGAAATAAGCATTATTGAAAATTCGCATTATTTTGTGGAGTACCTGAAATTTCGTGCCTGGAAAAACTCAAAATGATTTTGAATATACAAGATACACTAAGTATCATTTGCATTTCAAATGGGAAATTTATTAAGAAAAAAATTGAAATTATTTGTGATAATGGATCAGATTTAAAAACACAAATGAATATATGTCGCATCCTTATCCATAGAAGTTCATCCAATTTAAATTCCTCTGTAATACTCGCACTCTCTTATAAGTCGACCTTGTCTTGAGCTGCCCTAACACACTCTCCTTAGTGCACTCTGTTGCACGCATTCCTTGCCTTTGGTAAGGCTGGCAGCCTGCCATTATGAGATTTTCCCACTCCAGCTGCATTGCTATCATATTATTGCAATTGTCACTTGCCTTGGCTAAGGCCACCGCCACCTGTGTGCCCCAATATGGAGATGGTGTGCATAACTTCACGGCAATTCCTTGCACGGGCTTGTCGCCGCGCGTCGTACAACTTATTTATGTGCTTTTCTAGAAAGAAGAAAGAACCAAAAGTCAGCAGGAGAAGGCGTTGGTGAGCAGGGAGCAAAGGAAAAAACCCATATCAAAAGCAACAATTAAAATGCAACATGTAGACGTCAACACCTTCCAGTCACGGGCCAGTCACTGTCCGAGCCACAGTCACAGAATACACGCAACAGTCACATGCCAAGGCGTTTCGAGGCGGACGTTGAAATTGGGCATAAAAACAGTACCGCAAAAGATAATCGTTCCCATCCAATCTGATACCCCCTCTCGCTCTTTCGCTCTATCAATCACTAACGCATTTCTCCTACACTAAAAATGCAAATTGATGTCAAAAAAAAAAGAAGTAGAAAATAAAAAGGAATAAAATTCTGGTAGCGCCGTGACGTAAATTAAGTAGCTAAATAAGTTTCTGTTAAATTGGCTCCGACAGCGCATAATTAATTTCGTATGCGCAGCGGCAAAGAATTGGAAGAAAGAACCATCGTGGAATGCCGTTGTTGATATTGATAATGCTTATGATGATTGCCAACGCTGCGATAGCCATCTCTCAGCCCGTATACCCCCTCTATTCATTTAAATTTACAAGCCAGCGCTAGTGCGTTTGCATATATGCCCACTGTGCGCCGCTCTGTCTCTGAGACTGAAACCGAGACTGACAACTGGGAACTGGGGACAAGCACAGGTCTGTCTACCCGTGTGGTGTGTGTGCTGTGTGTGCTGGGGTTTAATGTACGCCTCTGTGCCCAATTCTGAAAAAAACTAACCACAGCGACAGCCGAGCGGCGGCCTTCGCGTGCGTGACCGGCATGCGCTTAGCGGTCATTGATTGGCCAACAGCAGCAGCAGCAGCGACGCTGGCAGCGACGGCAGCAGTAGAAACAATGTTGGCCAGTTCTTCGACCATGTCTATGCTCGACCAGCCTGTTGGCTAAGGGCGCCGCGAGCAACAAGTGTGTGAACACATTAAACGGTGATTAGGCCCGGGTCTGCGACTGCGGCTGACTCTGGCTCTGACACTTGAATTTGGCCTGCTCTGTGGTTGTTGTTGCCATTGTTTTGGTTTCATCCAAGCACTTTGTGTGTGGCGGTTGTTGCCTCAAATTAGCCCGCTGCAATGTTACCATTAAATTCATGGAGGTGAATGTGGGCAGCCGGAATATACAAAATGTAATTACTGACAAAACTATGCGAAAGGGCAGTCTACCATTAAAACAAAAAATAAATATGATATTTACCACGCAAACACATATATTAAGTGTTGATAACTTTATTATGTACAGAATATTATAAAAAGTCATTTTAGGGATTTTTATCCCAAAACCGAACATTTTATTAATATTAATCTATACATGTATATACGATTATATAATGATTATTATATATATTATTATTATTCTGATTAGCACTATGAGATATATTAGTATAATATAATATAATATAATAGACTTGTTATTTTTCTAAAGACGTTCTAATTATGATTTTATCTATCCTTCGAATCTCAATTTATTTTAATGAAGCATACTTTAGAGCGTAATTTGTTATTGACATCAGATTGTATACGGTGTCTTTAGTCTGTCTTTACTTAGATCAATTTATTGTTGTCGTTCCTATTTTAATAGGTAATAAATTAACCAACAGCTTGAATACTAGCCAAACGCGTTACTAAATCCAGGTAAATTTCACCTCTACGATGCTTAGTTAGTAGTTAGTTAAACGGGTTCCAACAAAAATAAGGTCTCAAGATTCAATGCTGATTGGTCATGACTTGTGCGTAACCTTGATTAAGCGACAGCGCTGAGCAATCAGCAACAATAACTTTCAATAAATTTACTCTACTCAGTGGCTTTTACTAAAAGAGAACGCATCATTCAAAGCCTATGGTAGTCCATATGTGACTAGGCGTCTACTTTGCTATGTTATTCAAATTTTGTCAGTCAAAAAGTAGGTTCTTGTATGGAAATGTTTGATTTAAATGTTTCACGATGTTCCTTACACATATGCAAAATCTTCTCATCATCGGAATACTATCATATAGCTGACATAGGAACTATCAGTCCAAAAGTAGGTTCTTCTTTGAAAAATCTTTTTGTTTATCAAGATATCTTGTCCAAACCCAACATTTAAAATGCCCAGGTTACATATATATTATATTATATTTTATATACTTATTATATATTCGATTATTATGTTTTATTTATTATATTTATTACTATATATACCTCTATAATATTCTGTTTAACAAGATACGTTTATCAACCTCTGCATTTCACTATTCGCAACACCGTACGGCAACTGACTACGCGAGTATAAAATCTTCAGAGAGTCGAAGATATACCACCTTTCGATTTATTGAAGTGCCCTAATACTGGCAAGTAGATTGACAAAAAGTCAAGTAAAAAACTAACGTTGTGCACATGTATACCTTAAGATCTTGCACTATGCAGACGCAACTTGCAATATTTAGGGAATGTCAATTAGAATTAATAAGTCTAAAAACGGTTCGTTGTACATTATTTTACTTAATTAATACGGGGTTTTTTAGATAGTCCCAGCATTGTGTGTGTTTTATCTTTTAATTAACTAAAAGTTTCTGATGCGTCAACCCCCAAGAAATTCTGGCAAAACTTGTAACAACAACTGATTAGTTCCAATGAAAATATGTATATCTGTTCCGAATAAAATGTGTTTTGTTTACATAAACAACGCAGATTCCCAAGAAGAGCACTTTGTCGCCAAAAAAATAAATGACAAACAAATGCATTGATGACATCGCATAAATTTTAGTGGCAACATCTATTCGATGTGTTTATAGCAAATGGTTCCCCGAAGTTATCGCCGAAAAAAAAAAAAAACAAAAAAAACTTAATTGTTGTTTCGATCAGATAAACAAGATACCAACTGACAACAGCACAATAAAGATGTTCATTCTTATTGATTGCTGATAGACTGATGGCTGATGGCATGAGGCCGACAGGACCGTCAATACACATCAATTAGAGCATAAAAAAATTTGTACTCATCACGGTCATGGTTCGAGCCAGAACTTTGTAGACCAAAATAAACACGTTTCTTGTTGCGCGCGCGCTTCGATAGCGTTTGCGATTATGTTATCAGCTGGCGCGGTGGCTGATAAGAGTGTCAGTAGCTGCTGGAATGCCCGCAATATATATATAAATCAATGAATTTCCAAACAGTCACAGCAATTGTAAGCAATAGCTACCAAATAGCACACGTAGTCCACAAGCTAAACAAATATATACCAAAATATATATTTAAGCAAAAAAGAAAAACAACAGAACTTCCCAAAAAACTGAAAGTTCGCAAAATGAAATCACAAACTTTGTCACTCTGCTGCTGCCTGGCGCTGTTGTCCGGCATTGCAGCCAACACGGTGTCCAACAACCAGACGGATTGTCCACAGATGTGTCCTGCCATCTATCAGCCGGTTTGTGGCTCGGATGGTTTCAATCTCAAGGAATTCGCCAGCGCTTGCAATCTGCAGGCCAGCAACTGTCGCCGCGAACGCAATGCCCTGACGAGTAAGTAAACAAATCGATTCCCAGATCCCGCTCTATATTTATAACGTTCTTTTGTTTAGCCTTTGCCCTGACGGACATGGCCTGGTGCCGCTCACAGGAGGTTGAGGATATTCACAAGCTGTTGAATGTCAAGCTGGACGTACCGAGCTGCCTCAAGCCCTGTGCCATGATTTACAAGCCTATCTGTGTGACCAATGGCAAGTACCGTGGTCTCGTGCCCAACGAGTGCACGTTTGAGACCTTCAACTGTGCCCTGAATTTCGCCGGCGTCGCACCCACTGAGCTGTTGCGCATTCTGAAAGCCGAAACCTGTTAAGCTGTCAGAATAAAACTGGAGTACATGTCCTTTGCACACAAGAGTTGCTTATTTGCAAAAATATATATATTTTGAACTAACAATTTGAAAACTATTATGAATGACATAAATCGATAGGGTATTTAAAGGGGGCAACTATGGAGATGGGCAAATCATTAAAAAATAAAAAAAAGGTCATAGAACTAAAGGAAGGATGTTTTGTTTGGTCCTTGCTCATCTTAAAATATATCATATGATTTCTCTAGGAAATATGACTTGATGTTAAAATTAGAATATATATTTTGAGGGCCAATGTCAAGACCAATTGATTTTAATTGCGATCGTATTATATGAACCTAGTCTCTATCCTTTTTGGGAGATTTCTGTGAACAGCTTGTAGGTCTTTTTATCAATGGATTATTTGAGAGATCGATCAAGCATGTTTTTTTTTTGAGCTTACGGATGTAATAAACAGATATTATTATCAAATATGAGCTAAGGCTCTAAGGCCTCGAGTACTTATACATTTTGAGAGCTTTTATAGGATAGAAATATGAACCATTAGACATAATACATAGATATTCTATCCTTTAGCTCATTAAGGAACAAGTATGTAAGCACGGTTGCTTGATCTTGCACATATTATATGTATGTCTGTCAGGATCGATAAGGCGTAGCAAACTTATCGTCTAATAATTTAATTTAATAATTTAATTTAATGGGTAATTAAATAATTAATGGGTAAGTCCCAACCCTTACATGCTCTCTATCATTATTGTGTATTTTTTGACATCATTTATTAAATATCATAATATTTGTTGATACCACAGTCCGAAATATTAATGTACCCCAGAGTAGTAGAATCAGCGTCAATAATATGAACATAACAGCTGTTCAAAATTCGCAGTAGGCATGTATTTCAATAGTTTTTCATTTATTTGCAAATTGATATCACATTGACAAAGTAAATATTGCGCAAGGAAATAAATAATTGTGGGAACAAATAACTAATAAGAATTTGGGGTGCACAATGCTTGGCCTCAGGTGTGTGTTGGCTGTTTGAGTCATGCTGAGTTCCAGTCACGAACACCCCAAAATGAGATCTGTTATCGGTTTTGCAAGGGGCAACAACACTTGAGACTCTGGGCTAACAAAGTGTGCCGGGCAATTGGCTAAAGCTTTGACAGAGCCAAGCGTGCAGCAGATCATCGTCGACGCGCTCCTGGGTGTTGGCCCAGAAGAAGGTGCCATTGTCGGTGCTAATGTACTGTAGCGGCAGCTGCAGGTCCCACAGCGTGGGCGTTGACGTGGGCGTGGGCGTGGACTGGGCCGCTACATTTTCTGTTAAGTTGTGACTATTGTTGTTGCTGCTGCTGTTGCTGCTGGTTGTGGTGTGATGCGTGTGCTGACAGTTGCGCCCATGCTGGCAGGCATTGCAGCTCTGTGTGCTGGCCTTCTCCACATAGACGCTGCTTATCAGCGTGGGCGTATTGGGCGGTGGTGGTGTCTGTGTTAACTCCTCGTGCACCTGTTGCAGGCGCAGCTCGGCGAACTTGTTGATAGACTCATCGGGCGTTGCTTTGCTGTCGTTGTCATCTGTGTGCAGCAGCTCCAGTGGCGGCAGCATTTGTGTATTGTTGAGATCCACATTGTTGGGATGGGGCTGAGACGCGGGCCTGCCCTTGCCGCCCACTGTCAGCAGTCGTCGCAACGGCTGCCAAACTTTGCGCATGCGTCGCCCCGTTTTGGGCGCCGTTGAAGCTGTTGTTGCTGTTGTGTTGTTGTTGCTGCAGCCAGCTGTCAAGTTTTTTGTATCCAGATACATGGCGATAGCTTTGTGGCAGCTTTCGGCTCGTTCAAGTTAGTTGATTTAGCAGCGAGCGTTGCGTGTGCGCACCTCGCGAGAGTCGTTCGTTTTCTGATGCTGCTGCGCCATCCGGCGCTCATATTTATATATGAGGCGCTGCCGCAGCGCTGCCAATGGCCAGTCAAGAGTGAAATCGTATGCCGGCTGATCTCACGAGCCCAGGCCAAGCACCGAGCACCGTACGAAATTTGAGTGCACTCTCATGCAGACACAACCACAACTATACAGACACACACACACACTCATATGCAGACACTTATTCCCATCGATGATGATGAGGGAGAGGGAGCTGCTTTTTATGTGCGCGTATTTCCCAAATAAATTCCAACAGGAATCCACAAGCTTGTGTGTACTTTTCCCATGCACGTACAATCGACAAGGGCCGCTTGATGAGTTTTGGCTGCAGGTAGATGAAGACGACGCCGGCTGCACCGTGGTGCAGTGGTGCAAAAAATCAAACGAATATTGTTTACTAAAGAACTGATTGGATTTCAGTAGAGTTCAACTTTATCGTAAAAGTAAAACAAAAAATAACAATCTAATAAAAATATGCCTATGGAAATATATAATCTTTTCTTATGATGGTACTTATGCAAATTAATAAAAAACGCGACTTAATAAAGTGGTAAAATATTTTGAATTTGAATTAAAAATAAAGTAAGCCGTAAAAATTACTTAGGAACATATTTGCAACTAGCAACTGGGCGTGTTATATGAATATGAATATGAATTCTATAATCGCTCGTAATAAAAAAACGTTTTTTAGCTCAAATTGCTTGCTGCTAAAATGTTTATTGTTAGTTAAAATGATTACCATAAGAATGAAATACAAGCATCAGCTATAGAGACATAGGTATAAGTTCTTAAGTACCTGTAGGTTTGTTTTAATAATGAGAGAGCAGGGAAATAAAATTAGGAATAAAGAAACAAGCTAATGAAGTTGTTACCACAAAAAATTAATACATTTATTTTGCTTTCATCAAATCTTTGGCCTCAAGATACTCTATTGATTTAAAAATTCAGTATAAGAAAAGCGCGTCTCCAGACGCGCTTCCTGTTTGAATATTAAATTACAAATACTTAACTGAAAAAAGTGCACCTTATTGAGCACATTAAATTGCTTTGGAACCACAGTGCATCGCCTGTTCCGTCATTTATGCACGACTGACTTTGTTTTCACATTCACACGGTACCCGAAGCCGGGGCCAGAGCCAGGGCCCACTAGTTGTTGCTGGTTGCTGCTTGTCCAGCTGAAACCGATTGGGCGCAGTGACGTAGCCATTTTGCTTGCACAGTCCTCACTGGGGGCAGCAGCTGCACCTGTTCCATTGTAGCCCCTGTAAACTAAGACGCTGTGCATTTCCGTCCTGGCGCAGGCGGCGCACCGTTGCGAGTGTGGGAAAGGGCTTATAAGAATTTCACTTGGGTTGTTCGGGTTTTTGAGTTTTCGGGCACTATTGTTGTTGTTGTTATTATTTTTGTTTCCTTTCTTGTGATTTTTTGGTGTCTTGTTGTTGCTTTTGCTGCTGCTGTTGATGTTGTCGAGAGCAGCTGTTATTGCTACTTGTTCGCCTGTTTGTTGTCATTTATAATCAAGGCTCTGAGCCCCGGCGCTGATAAGTTCATTTTATGAGCTCGTCGATCCTAGCCGTGGGGATTATAGCATGTTGTTCACACGCTCCGCACAAAGGCAGATCTAATGAGGCCGTGACCTGATTCCACAACAGTCCTTTGCTCTTTCCCACACAAAAACCAGCGCCGGGCCTATTCTCGAAAACTAGTTGGCCCAGTCAGCCTGGCCGTAGAGCGAAACAGAGCCTGGCCCGTTCGACTGGCCGGGGGCCAAATGCAACAAACTCGTGCCAATCGCGTGTACACCGCACGCCTGCAGCTTGTGAGCCACCGTCTCTATCGCTTTGGTCGCCATTAATCTTGAACTCTCCGCAGCACGTCGACGACGACTACGACGACGACGGCATCGTTGCCCCGCACATTTGCCCCCAATCAGCGCCTAGCTTTGAACTGCACGTTTGCTAAATTGAAAGCGACTTTGACTCCATCTCTGACTATGACTGCAACTGCAACAGCAACTAAGATGCTCTTGTGGCAGCTCCAGCTTCAACAGCGCCTCTGTCTCTGGCCGGGCTGCGCATGCGCCTGCCTTAACGCCTTATTGGTAGACAGATGGGGCAGACTTATGCCAAGTTGGTGTCTTTGCTATTTTATACCCTTTCTGTGTCTGATGTATGCATATTATCTGGTTTCGTGTGTTAATTTTAGAAATCCTTAGAAATAAAATGTTCATTAAAATAAGAAAAAGCAGATCAAGTAAAAACTTTACGAACGCTATACCAAATTTTAATTCTTTGGAGATGGATCAGAACTATTTCTAAATAACTATTTTTGTTTGCCTAGAAGCATTTTTAATCCTTCATAAAATTTTTTAATCCTTTTTAAATCTGGGTAAAAGTTTTTAATTGCTCAAGTTAGCAAAAAGTAAAAATATCTAAAACTAGTGTTGATAAGCTTGTAAACAGTGCTGTAAATTATTTTATGTTCATGGTCAAACATAGAAAACAAACGGAGATAGTTTTTGGTTAAGTATGATTGATAAGGTTAATATCCGGAAGGTTTTTAGAGCTTAAGATGCTGTTTTTTTTTTAACCAGAAAATTGTATAGACTAAATGTTAGTGCCTCATAAAATATTAAAAAAAAAATCTGAATAAGGCTTAGAACTGATAAACTACAAGACTTTACATACAATTTGTTAGGCACTTTATAAAAGTTGTTCAAATGTTCTGATAGAGTATTTAAGCTGTGAGGTTGTGTTTTTCAATTTCAAACTTTTAAGCCACAAGCCTTTATTTGGCTTTTGGCTTTTGGTTCACACGGCAGGCGACCAAAGCGGCAAAGCGGCAACCAGGCAACGAGGCAACAAGTTTTGCGCAAAGTTAGCGCAAAGCTTAAAAATATATATGACAAGCAATTAGTGTGCATTGAGGTTAGTTGAAAATGGTTTTTGGTTGTGGCTTGTGGCTGATGTGATTCGTTGTATGCATGTGTGTGTGTGTGTGTGTTTGTGATTTGCATGCGCCGTGTGATCGGATGCAACTGCGTTACTCATACGACACGTGTGACAACAAAGTTGAAAGTTAAGTCAGCTTGTAAGCTAACGCTGCTGTTATTGTTGTAACTGTTGTTGTTGTTATTATTATTTTTGCTGCTGTTCGAAGTCAGCAGAAAAATAAAAGGCCAAGCCAGCAACCACAAACAACGGCTAACGGAAGTCATGGGCAAAAGACAAACAAACAAACCAGAGATTCTGCAGCATCATGGGAACTGCTTGGGCTGGCAAAAAAAAAAAAAAAAAACAAAAAAAAAGTACAAGTGTCATATTGCTGTGATGGCGATAAATAAAAAACAGGCAACATTTTATACACATAGTGTCAGGTCTGCTCAGCTGCCCGACTGTCCGGCTATCCAGCTGGCAGCTGCCCAGTCGCTGTAGCCGAGATCAGCGAAAAGCTGGAATAAAACATCATCTTAGAACGACAACCGGATGTTGAAGTTTATTGCGATGAACGAAGGCGACAACTTAAGCTATGCAAAAGTTTTGGAAACCCCAATACTGTAAGGAAAGCTGGAAACTGTTACGCTTAATCGATACACTTCAACGAAATGCTAGCCACTCAATGTTGTTGTTATAGTTTTGTTGTTGTTTTTGTTGTCGTAGTTGTCGCAGTCATCATCATCAGCCAAGCATGCGACATAATTGCGCGAGTTAAAGCCCCCCAAACAAGCGGCAGCCACAACAACAACAGCAATCATCAGCAACAACCAGCAACAACCAGCAGCAGCACTAACAACAAAAACAACAACAACAAGCAGCAAAACATTTCAGCAATCCATCGGATCGCATCACAATCCAGCCATCCGTCCAACGTGTGGGAAACACACGACAAATCTGTTTCCCACGGTCTCGTAAAGTAGGCACAACACAACACACACTCTCAGCCGCCGTCGCAGTCGCAGTCGTAGTAGGCTCCCATTTGTGCATATGCATATGTGTGTGTGAGTAAGTGAGAGCACCAAAGAGCCCAATAGCCGCAGACGACGAATAGGAGCCGCCGCTGAAGCAGCAGCGCAACTGTCATCATTGACAATAAGTATGACATGGACGATGGCAACGGCGACGGCGACAGCAGCGGTAACATCGACGGCGCACTGAGAGCCACGCGCAGACCCATTCTCATTCCAAATCCAAAATCTAAAGCCCCGACTGCGACTCACTCGGCAATCCGTTTTTGAAGACGACGACGCGCGCCAGAGCGCAACAGGGCACGCTCTCTCGCTCACGCTCATCTAAAGGCAGCAGATAAGCAGTGTTGTCGAGTCGCTCGATTTCGTAAACTGGCGCAATAATATGCCAAAGATCGCACAGTGGGCCAAGTGTTGAAAATTGAAGATGTATTGTTAAATAAGATTTAACATAGGTCGCTCGTCTTACATCCAAGTTTTTCCAATGGGGCTTAGCTGGCGATAAAGATATATGTTTGATAACATTCAGTAGATACGATAATAGAAGATATTTGCCAGGCTCCATAAGTCTCCGAAGAGTCTATCATTAAGAAGCACAACCATTTATAGAAACAAAGGGAGCAACTAATATATATCATCTGAGCTTTAGCTCGTCAATAGTAAATCAATTAAACTTTAAATTGAAAAACAACATTTATTGTTATTATTAGTTAATTAAAAATCAGGGCTAGAAAACAACATGTTTTGATGATGTTTACGACAAGTAAGAGTATATATATTAGAATTACCTCATTTATAAATTCTAAAAATATTACATAAAAATTTTTGGTTATGCATTTTACGGTAAATTAAAAATGTTTATTAATTTTATAAAGAAAACAGGCAAAATGAAACTAATAAAGCTGTTCGTTGCATACTTTAAGGAACATTGAAATATTTATTTTATAATAACACTATCAAATCTAGCTATTTTTTAAGACTTAAAAAAATGTGTCAGATATACGAATCTTTTCATTGATTTAAAATCCTCATGAAAATAACTACATTCGTATTCTAATCTGGTGTAGCTTTTATGAGATATAAACATGTTCTTAAAAGTATGCAACGGATGTTTGGGAATATATATAATTATTTTCTCGATTTCTCATATATATAGAAATAATTTAAATAAAGTGGAATACGTATATAATTTGATATATTTGTAGAACAAAATAAATCAAACCAGACTAAGACTAATATTTTGTTAAGTAGAACGAAAAATATCAATATTTGAGTTTTTATTTAGCTAACCAACTCAAATTTTCCAACTATAACTAGCACGTCTTTATTCAGCAACGACCCACTGTGCAGTAGATTGCCTGGCAACTTGACAACTCCAACCCCAACGTGTGCCTGCAACGGACTTCACAGTAGCCTCTCTTTGTGTGCGCTGCCGAGTGCCGCTACCGAGCCGAGACCGAAGGCACGAATGCCACCACAGCCCCGTATATGTGTATGTGGATGTGTGTGCGAATGATCATGCGGGAGCTCAGGCCCAGTCGCTGCAGGGAGAGCGTCGTATAAAAGTAACGTTGGAAACTTGTTTGCCACTCATTTCATAAACGTGCCGCCTGTTGAACGGAACACAAAGCGCGACGCACGCGCAACCGCCCCAAAGAAAATACGATATCGACGTGAATATGTGCGTGTAGCTCGGTTCAAGCCAAAAATCAAAACTTTAACAGAAATAGTGAAGGTGATTCGAATCACAACATGGTCATGGAGATGTCCAAGACCTATCAGTACCGGAAGGTGATGAAGCCGCTGTTGGAGCGCAAGCGCCGTGCGCGTATCAACAAGTGTCTCGATGATCTCAAGGATTTGATGGTGGAGTGCCTGCAGCAGGAGGGCGAGCATGTCACGCGCCTCGAGAAGGCCGACATACTCGAGCTAACGGTGGATCATATGCGCAAACTCAAGCAGCGCGGCGGCCTCTCGCTGCAAGCCGTCGGCACCGCTGGCGGCGGGAATGTAGCTGCCCCCAGCACCAGTGCCGCCCACGTCGAGTCCTTTCGCTCCGGTTATGTTCATGCTGCCGATCAGATTACACAAGTTCTGCTGCAGACGCAGCAAACCGATGAGATTGGCCGCAAGATTATGAAGTTTCTATCGACGCGACTAATTGAGCTGCAATCCCAATTGCTGCAACAACAACAACAACAACAACCGCCCGCCGTCGGGTACGCCTCAGGACGCTTAGCCTTTCCGCTGCTGGGCGGTTACGGCGCCGCTGCCGCAGCCAGTTACAGCGCCTTCCTGGCGGGTAAGGACGAACTAATCGATGTGACATCCGTGGATGGCACAGCGCTATCCGAAACGGCGTCAGTTAGCTCGCAGGAGTCGGGCGCCTCGGAGCCCGTCTGGCGGCCCTGGTAATCAACTGGCTGCCTGCATTCCTGGCGACATCATCTAATTTCTAGATCTTATCTTTAGTATTCCAAATGGCTATTAACCGTTCGCTGCTGCCATTATCAGCAGCAGCAAACAACAACAGCAAAATCCGTTGTCTTCCAAAGCAAATTGTCGCATCATATCGCATGAATTTGTTGCACTGTGCATTGTTTTTAAATACTTTTAAGTTTATTTTGATAATATTTGTAAATTTTGTATTTCAACTGTGATATAACTAAAGTACGTCGCGTTTCAATACACTTTGATTGCGCTGACTTCCTAATAATTTGCTAAAGTTTTCTAGAGTTAAATGTTTGCAATGTTCATTATTGAAAGCGTCTTATCAAATTAACTAAATTAAGCTTTAAATAATTTATAAATGTTAAATTAGGAACTAAATATGAATAAACAAAAGTTCTCATATTAAAGACAACTAATATATATCTTTTTATTCACAAAACACTTTTCAGCCTATTAAAAAGGTTTTATTATTCCCATTAAATCCCAATTGGAATAATTTAAACGAGTGTAAGCATTTCATAATATCATTTAATGCTATTTCATTCGAAGCTCCGCTTATTTTGAAGAAAATTTCACAATTTTTTAGTCATTTTAAATGATTTTATAATACTATACATTAATAATTATATAATAGTCAAAGATTCGATAAAGTTGTATAAAAATGTTACATTTCTGAGTGCAAAGAGATACCCTTAGAAGAATATCAAAACCCTATACACTATTATTATGAGATTATCTCAATAGATAACATTGTCCTCGAAAGATTCGGAAGTTTTAAGCGTTTAATTTTTTTACTAAATAAAATCAAGACCATTGAAGGGAACATATTTAATAATATTCAAATTCCAAATATTTATTTTACAAATAATTAAAATATTTTATATTTTAAAACAAATGCAAAGAAAAGTTTCAAAATATCAGTCATACTCATAAATAAATCTGAAGAATCTATAGATCTTTAATTGAAAAATACATTTATGTATTAATATATATTGAAAAGCTTACATTAGATAGGGGCTCGCAAGTCCATTGTATATATATATGTAAGATATATCTCAATGTATAGTATATATAGTATGTAGGTATGTATAGTATATATGAAATTCGACCAAAGTTTTGGATCATAAATACGCAGTTGTTTTTTCATGCTTATCTATTGGCAGGAAATATGTGCTGAGTATGCATTCAATGAATTTTAAAGCAAATCTTCACATATCTTCACCTCCAGTGCTCCCATTTCAAATTTGATCTACTGCCACACACACAGACACCCAAGCACACACACGTGCTTGTGCTGACTTTTACTTTTATCAGGCGAACATCTCTTCACATTTCATGCAAGAAGCACATCAGCATATCTGAAGTTGCCGTCACAGAAGCAATTAAGAGCTTGTAGCTACTGTAAATAGATGTAGATACAGATACAGATACAAAGATACATACATATATAATGTGAATGCCTGAATCATTTATGCAATCAATTGTGCATCTCTGCAGAGCTTCTTCTTGTCAGCGGTAAAGTAATTAAATAACTGCCAGGTCTAATTGGAACCGGCGCGATCAACGATGTCTCGTTTATTTTCTGATTGGCCCAAAACTGGTTAGACCTGTAAAAATCAACCCCTAAATTTAAGTTGGATGCTGTTGCTATCACAATGACATCTACCTGCGCGCAGGTAAAGACATCAACAATAAGCCTGGCTTAGCAGGGACTGCAGGAGCCCTGCTCAGGTAGACCCGAACAAACAAGCGATGGTTACAAAGTGTTGGCCACCAGATTAGCCGGCGGCCAATGAGTCACCCAATTCAACAATGGCTTGCAGTTATGCAAAGGTTATTAAGTAGTGTTTTTTTAGGGGTAGCTGAAAATTGATAATTGAATGCCATTTGAGAATGAGAACAAAAATTGGTTGTTTTTTCTTTAAATTGTATATATATTTTTGTAAAAATATGAGTTAAAATTTATCACAATTTTGTAAAGCTCAGTTGAGTGTTAAGCGACTTGCAGTTAATTTTGTTTGCATTTTTTTCAAAAAATTAACAGAAGACGCCTTAAAGCAGGAAGCTGGAACCACCGGCCCCAAATGGAAGACATTGTTGCGTGTGTGTTTGGCTGACCAAACGCATGTTTAGGCTTGCACCCAACGATCCTGGAACTGAGCGACGGCTATTTCATTGGCGGTGCTGCAGTACAGTGGCTCGACAAGATCGTTGTCGGCGGGCAGATCGGAGGCGGCGGTCCAGAAGAAGGTGCCATGAGCGGTGCGCACAAAGTGTACTGGCACAGTTGGCATTTGCTCGAGCTCGTAGTCCTCCATTTCGCAGGAGGCGGAGAGACGCTCATTGGCTTCGTTCTCATAGGATTCCAGCGAGGCGGCGCAGGATTTGTTGGCGATGGACTCAAGATCGGCGTTGCGGCTGTTCTCAATGGACTCCAGCGATTCCAATGAGTTGGCCTTGTGTGTGTTTTGCATGTTCTGCTGCTCCTCGACCTGTTGCTGATGCTGTTTGAAGATCTTCTGCAGCAGCTTCTTCACGCTGTAGGATTTCTTGTTCGATTTGATGTTCATGTTGTTGACGATGTTCTGGCTCTGGCACATTTTGAATTTAAGTTTGCGTTTTAGCTGAGTTGTTTGCTGTACGAAGCGTAGTGCTCGAATGATGTCTGATCCTCTGAAACTGCTGCCTTTTATACCCGCACAGGACCAAAATGAAATCCAAGCCGACAGCAGGTCGGGACAGCGAGGGTAGAGGCAGGCAGGCAGAAAGATACACCAGATACTGTGCGAGTGTGGGAAAGTACAAGGATACGTGCACAGACAAAACGAGTAAACGAGAAAATCCTGTGCACACACACTCGCACACATGCACACAAAAAACGGCAGGTGTGTTTCGAAACGGACCGCTGGGACGGACCTGCACGCCATTAACCTGCATGCGTTGGAGTGTGAAGGCATGTCATGCTGGATCGCTCGCACCTGCTTGTTGTGCATGGCAATTTTATCCTGCGCCAGGATCGTGAGAAGCGAGACTTTCTACCAGTTCCCACAGTTTTTCGAAGGATCCTTTTTCGAGCCTATTGAAAACAAAAACAACAACAAAAAAAAAGAATCTTTTTGCTGATCACTTTTGGTTTTTATATGCTCCTCAGTTGTTATCGTTGTTGTTGTTGTTGTTGTTGCTGCTGCTGGCAGCTCTTTATGCACTTATCTCGTTTTGGTTGGCATAGAAATCCCTTTTTCGGGTCTTGAACACGTGTGCAGCGTTGCCCCCGAAAACGTGGGAGAATATTTTCAATTTTCAACGCTTGAACGACCCAAACAATTAATGGCCTGACAGCAGAGGCCCAGATCAACTAGTTGAATAGGCAAACACACTTTGGCACTGAGACTGGGATCATTTAATGCGCTGTAATTTGAAATTTATAAATTTTTTGTGCCTCGAGGCGTTGCCCAAACGAGCGAGAAAAAAGGAGGACCATAAAAGAAGGAAAGACAAGGGAAAAAAATAAATATCTAAAAACGTGTCAGGCATTCTAAAGCCGAAGGAGTTGCTTTTAATTTCATTTCGATGGCACACAATTAGCAGGCGAGTCGAAGCGGTCGGCCCCCCCGCTCTTACCCTGTCTGTGCCTTATTAAGGGGCACTTTGTGTGCATCCTGGAGGAGCTAAGCGAGAGAGGGAGAGCTGAGCATACACACGCTCAGCGGTGCGCCAGCGTTGTCCTTTTTGGACTTCGGTTCGGTCGCAAGTTGGACACGTGATGGCGCGTGAGGCGTTGAGGTTAGCACAGAGCCATGGGAACGATTTCGGGGACGATCCTGTACTTAATGGATTGTCTTTGACTTGGCCATAAATATTTGTAGCCCATGTGCGTTGGGTTTCCTTTTTTCATTACTTTTGTTGGAGCTACAGAGTGTTTTATTTTTTATACACAAGGCCAGGGAGACAAATTAAGATTCAAGCAGCGAGTGTCCTGGTGAGAAGTTGTAGGCTGGCGTTAACAGTTCGTTTCAAAATTGTTTGAACCCGAAGATTGTGCAGTCCTATTGATGTGTTCCTAGATCCAGGCTATGATTATAAGGTTCGCCTTGATCTCATTGTGATTAGGAGTTTGGTCGAGCTGATTTGTGTGTGTGTTTTTTGTTGAGCTCAGCTCAGCTCAGCTATTGAGGTTTTATTAGAAAGAAAGGCAACAATCTAAGCATTTGTTTACACAGTAAAGCAATAAATAGTCAGTCAGATAAGATAGAACTTGACAGCCTGGGGTGTTTAAAGTTCTATATATATTTGCTATCTAAAACCTAGCTGATTTGTATGCACTTCAGGCTCATTTTTCGAGAGTGGATGAAAGTAAAAGGAAAAGTGGAATGCAAGTAATTTATTCCAATGCACTCCCTGATAAAAATGATTCTCAATATTTTATAATAATTATGAGCGCAATAAACAAAACATACGAAAATCAAATAGTCAAGATATGGTAAAAACTTTTGTATAATAATAATAATAAATTTGAAATATTTTAAATTTATAAAAAACATGGTATACAATTTTATTAGCAATTAACAAAAATGAAATGGCATTTACTTTAAATATATGCACTTTATATATTTTAAAATATTCTTGAAGAATAAAAAACTTAAGAATGTGCCAAGATATTATTAATTTTAGATGCAATTGACGTTAGATACTTTAGAAAAAAATTGCATCAATTTCCGATTCGAATAATTAGCTTGAATTTGAATTTATGAAAGAAGATATACCAATAGATATCATACATTTGATATATACATGTGCAAATTTTTTAAAAACAATTAATTAAATCATAGCAATGAAACGAATTTATATTCCAATGTACGTTTTTAATATAGGTGTATGTAGAATTAATATAAGAGCAAGCAGCGAAGATTTTTCAGCTCCTATTAAAAGAATATTATCTCTTCCAATCAGAAATAGAATAAACAAGAAATTCGTAGCTCTCCACGTAGTGCAAAGAAACTTTAAGATGACATACTTTAGTTGAAACACCAATTCATATATGATGACTTGATTTCGCAAACAGTTATTCATTATAGGAAATCAATTCTTTAAGAAATCAAATTTTACCAGCAATATATTCTTTAGAAACAATTAAATCCGTAGTTGACCATTTCGCCCGAGCTTTACAGGATTATTTCATGGAAGTAGAAATTACGGCCTTGGCTGTTTTGGTTGACTCATTCTACCATATCATAATAATGCACGATTGTTTGTTCCAATTGTGTGTCGTCCTTCGCTCTATTTTGGTTGACTCATTCCCCTAGTTTTCATTTCATGGCCCACGTGCATGCCCATGCGATCCAATAGAATAGCCACCAAATTTGTATGGCAAACCGAAAACCGAAAACCAAAAAAAGATTGTTCGAAAAGCCCTGCTGGGGGTCCACAGACTACAGATATAGACAGATAGCAGCTACCACTGTGGCGGTTTTTGGGCTACCGTGGTACCTTGTTTGGCCTAAAATCGTTTCCAGTGAAATCTTTGACCTGCTCTCTCGATGAACACGTGCACTGATTTCTTATCGTTGCCGATCATTAAAGGTTCCAAAATTGTAGATTAGCCCGAAACAAAACCTGTGGCACACACAAAAAAAAAAGAAGAGATTTGAAAAATTAAAAGAAAAAAATATATATCAACAACAACCTGACCCCTCGCCGGTTGCCATTGTTTGCAAGTGTTTAGGTTCCTGGCCCAAATGTGTGCGTACACACACGCACTGGGTTTGGGATTGAACTTGGGCTTGGAACTGGGCATGAGAACGTGATTCGTCTTGTTTGAACACGTGACGACCTCGTTTCTCTCACTGCGGGGTGCTTGGTGTTACGACGCCGTTTCCAAATTGCAGCGTCGCCAACTGACACGTCTTGCTGATGTACTATCTATCCACAAAATATATGCAGCAAGTGCCCCGGCCCCGATAGATGGCAAACGCAAGGTACGTGCGTAACTTGTGAGCAGCGAATTTTCACACATGTGGCAGCAACGGCAGCAAGAAGCGGGAAATGCCCGCAACCATTGGGCCGCAATCAGGTCCAGTTACAGGATTCGGGTTTTCCACGGCTAGTGTTAACTATGCCGATGTTACGGTATTTCCGCTATTCTCTGGTCAGCGTGAACTTCAAACGAGGCGTGCGAAAAATTCAACAGAATGTAACCCTAGAGCCGACGACGGCAATCACTTCAACTGGTCTAGTTGCAATTGCAGTCCCACATAGAACCTCAAAAAACCATCCATTTCGAAGCCAGAGCGTTAAAGTCATGTGCGCCGCAGTTAAAACAACAATGTATCTACAAATCGCAGATACATTTGAATAGCGACCCACGCGGCGGTTTTGTAATGATAAAATAACACACCAAAACACACACATGCACGCACAGGCGGCACACTCATAAATGCGTTATAAAAATAAAATTCTGTTGGTCTGGCTTGGCAGACACATGTGGGGTCCTTTTTTTGTCATCATATTACATGCAAGAGACGCAGCGCACTTGACACGAGACAGGGCGACATGTTGAATTATCTTTTAGTTTACAAATTAGTATGTGAGATGCTTGTTGCACATGCGGGAGGCAGTTCTGGGAATGCAGACATTGTTAGTTTAGGACGTGCACAATGCAAGGATCAATGGGCAATTGCCAGAGAAACGCTTTTTGGCCGCCCATCACTCAACGCACGTGCAGCTCACAAAAGGGGTTGTAATTACAGTTTAACTCAGTGTCGCCGCCCTCCCTAAAAACCAGGCTCAACAACACCACACACCACACACACAGACCGCACCGCACTGCACCGCACCACACAAGACACCGAGGGGTCCGGTATATGCAGATTGGAGGGCAACACGTGCATGTTGATCAGTCCGATGAGCATGCGAGGCGTGGACAGGTCTCAGACTCGGTTTTTGGTTTGCCCTCTCAGGGGCGTCGCTGATCGTTGCAGCTAAGGTTTCATATGAAAACTAGCTTAAGGGTGAGGACCTCCTACTTGAGACCCTAGGGAGCTCGGGTTCCCTCACTCTCGCACTCGTTCGCAGCTGGGGTGTTTGGTTGCGTTGACACAACAGAGTTTCTGGGGAGCCATTTAGGCATAAACAAGCACCAACAAAACCCAGACCCTATTAAAACGAAAACTCATTAAAATATATCTAAATTATCGTCCCCTTGCCTCAATCTTTCTACGCGCACGAACAGGTCTTTCAATTTTCTAGTCGTTAGCGTGTCTGGTCCCGCTTAATCCTTCCAAGACTAATTACAAAACTGTAGACGCCGGAATCCTGTTACGCATACTGATAAGCTCTGTGATTTAAGAGCTGTCCCCATTAGATGGAATATCTTATTTCTATATTGAGTTTCAGCTCACAATCAATGCTCCGATTTTCTAATGCAGCACTAACAGATATTGAAGTTTGATCTTGATAGCTGCGCTATACAAAGAAGAGTGTCAATATTTTGAAGCAAACACCAACAGGTTCAGACGAAATGCGATATTGAATAGGTACAGTTGAGCTCAATTGTACATTGCGTGAGCAGCCTCTTTGAGAAATGATCATGCACTGATTTTAAACTATTTTCATTTCAAACATGCCAAAGTAAAGAAAAGATTGTATCAAGCAAAATAAGGAACAGAGCTCAAAAAGGGACTCTAATGACATAGTATAACCTAAATTATGTATTTTTAAATATTAAATTGAAGGCTTTATTAAAATAATCAAATCATAAATATTATATCTATCTAAACTAGCCTTCGGCTATGTACAGGATCTAACGGTGGTTTGATTGTATATGTACATGTTTTCTTACAACTAATACAATCTTGTAGATAAGAGTGAACTTTAAAAGATAGTCTATCGCTGATAAGGTGTATAAGTTTTATTAATGGTGCAGATATTTAGATAAGGTGATACACATTACTTTGTTTTCAGAAAAGATATAAATATTAAGAAGGATCAGTTATATATGTTATTGGATTATTCTTTTGAGAGTATTTATAAATATATATATTCCTTAAATATATGTATCTTTATATTTGTTACAAAGGCTACATAATCCTTCTATAAGAAATGTTTGGCTTTAGGATGTTTATAGATATGCACTCATTCGTTTTTTTTTTCTATAGTTTAATGAAGATTGCAGTGAATGTAAAATCAGTTTTTTATTAGTGAAATTATTATTAATTTAACAGGAATTACCTTATGCAACGATATTTTGAATAGATTCGGGGCCTCTAAAACTCTAATGGTTTGTTAAAAATGTTGGTAAGGAAAATTTTTTTAATATTCCAAGTTCGCAGATTTTACAATACTATAAATATAACTAAATAAGTTTAGTTAAGTTTGTTTGGTAGAAAATTTCTTTTTTAGATATTTAATAAAAATCTTTCAAGGTAGCTAATTGCCCTATGCAGCATTTGTTTGTCATTAGTTACATTCGCCAGGTTTTTATTAAGAAAAACTAGTTTTAGATTTTTAATTTTTTTTATCAGGTTGCCAGACTGAGAGGAGGGGGCCGCGTCGCTCTAGAGATGGGTGGGCGGAGCTGGGGGTGGAGTATCTGGGCAAAGGTTCTTCTTCTTAATCTTTCGTTGGCGTGTTCTGCCAGCAAAAGTTGTTCTAAAGTAGTTTAAAAGTAGTTAAACCCAATAAGTTAAAATGTTGATAACCGCCTTTTAAATAGGCTAGGCAAGCTACCCAACTGACAATGAAAAGCCCAATAAAATAAGCTTAAATTCGGAAAATAAAGAAGATGAATATCATTTTGTTTTCAAGTTTTAGTTTTTATTACTATTAAAGCTTGTAATATTCTCTTATAGTCTAAAGTTAGTAAGCATCATTTCGCTAATTTGTACATCTTAAAACTATTAAAGCCGGAGATTGGTATCTTATAAGCTAGTCATGCTTAGATCTATGTAAAGCTTTTGTTATCACAGTTTACATCGAGTCAATTGGAAGACATGATTCGTTGTTATGGTTGTAGTTGTAGATTGTTGTTATCTCTGTGGATTACCAGGGGCGCCACATTGAATGGCTGCCGGACTGTGGACTAACTGCTGCCTCAGAGTCCTCGGCATCGCTGTGATAGCCAGAAGATGCGGGGCTGGCGGAACGACTGATTGGCATGGATTCCAATTCGGTTTGCTGCTGCTGGTGTTGTTCTGGTTGCTGGTCTGCCTGCAGCATGCGCTGGAACTCAATGCCCAGATGTGTCATCACCGTCTTGCCAACATCAACGCTCATAGCCGGCGTGCAGGCCATCACACGTGAGATTTCGCTGACGGCATTCATGTAACCGTTCTTGAAGCTGTCCATGGGCACAGGTGAGACCGGCGCCTGTTGCTTGATCAGCTGCTTGCGCATGAAGACAAGTGCCGCCTCGAGCATTTCAGCCTTGTCCAGACGTAGTATGGCATCGTCGCCCTGGAACTCGGCAACAAGTGTCTTCAGTGTGTCCAGGCACTTGTTCATGCGTGCCCGACGCTGACGCTCCAGCAGCGGCTTCTTCACCTTCAGATAATGCTGGGTCTTCGAGACGTACGCAGTTTCAGTTTGTGGTGCCATTTTTGAGATATTCTTGAGTGCTTTAGCTGTGCACGGTTTGCAGGATGCTGTGTGAATGATGCTCTTCTCGAATGCAGCGTCGCCTTTTATAGGCTGCACTGCAGTTCGGGCTTCAGGTCCTGCAGCCAGGACCTGCTGCAGGTAGCCAGACGTGCAGAGATCTAGAAATCTCTCTCTCCCTCGCTCTTTGCAATGCGTGGGAAAGGAAATCGTTGATAGACCCTAAAACTGAGATGCACAGCAACAATAACTAAAAGACGATTGTGTAGTTGCGTGTCTGACGCATTGTAACTGCAATTAAACCGTAAAATTCTGGCCAAGATCCCAGAGAATAGAGAGAGGCCCAGACAATTGACCGGACTGTGGTGATTTGTCTTGTAAGCCAAAAGTAAAATTTGATGAAAAGTTACAAATGTTCTTGGATCGATGTGGTTTTTATGGCTTCGTCCTTCAACAAATTTTGTTGTATCTTAGAGCTAATTAATATTCTTATTAGCAGTAATTATATTCAAATAATTTTAGAAAATTCACCGATTGGCATTAACTAAATGACCTACAATATATTATTAACTTATTTAGCAGATAAATTATAAACTAGTACATATGTGAATATTATATATAACATCTTAAGGACTCTTAAAAATAATTATCCGACTTTATAATAGTTATTAATAACCCCATTCATAAGCTTAACGCAAATTTAAGTTATGAAGACGTTCAAGTAATTATCCTGTACTCCTGGATACATAAGCTGACGAAGTAACTCAGCTATTTGAGAAATTGAACGGGGTTCGAAGCCCAACTTAGCGTAATTATAGCTTGATAGTCCCTTATAAGATTAATATTAATATTTCTTATGAATGTTATTTTTCAAAGGATTCTCACCTTTATTTATAAAAGTCTGTGCCTAGATATTTCGACAAATCACGGACTTAAATACCTCCTTGAATAATTAGGTTAAATAGTAACCGATATTTTATATTTTCTAAAATAGCAAAATTTAGCTAGTACTTATCACTAGAGCTGATTTAATTAAAATTGAAAATCTTTTATATTTTCAGTTCAGTTCCTGATTCCTTCACACGCATAGTCCAATTACAGCTCACAGAATAAGAAATTTCATTAAAATTCTTAATTTTATAATTACTTGCGGTCTGACTCTACTAGTACGTACCCAATCTGCAGAGCTCCAGTTAGCATCCATGCCAATAAGAAGGGTTGGTAACTCCGTTGCGGTAAGTGGCACCCGCAGCTCGGCGGATCGGCAGCTCGGCACTCGTCAGTCGTCCGTCGTCAGTGGCTCGTATGTGCGTCGATTGCTCGATTTTCATATCGTGAGAACCGCTCGAGAAACGTCGTGTGTTTCCCACGCGATGTGCACACCTGCCATTTAAGTCGCTTATATGGTTGCGATTACAAACACAGCAGCAACATAAACAGCAGCAACATGAGGGCCTCGACTGTCGACGGCACACATTTATTGCGTCGGCGCGACGCGCATTATCAGCGTCGTGTGGCTGCCCAGACGACTTGACTGACGGACTGACTGTCTGATTGTCTGACTGACTGATTACTGGCTGCTTTACTTTAGTTTTTCACTCTTGTCGTCATTATGTTGCTGCCGCAGTTTTCGTTGTTGTTGTTGCTGGCGTCGCCGTCGTCGTCATTGTCGATTGTTTAATTTAAATCGTCGTCGCGATGTCGGCTACTTGGCTTCAGCTTAATGATTATACCCCAAAGTCTGCCTCGAGGTTTCTGCGGAATTGTGCGCAATAGTTATTTGTACTTTACGACATGCGCTAATTGAACCGCAGAAGAGTTTATGAGCCACAGCTTCAGCTTCAGCTTAAGCATCAGCCACAGCAACGTTGATTGGCCAAAGCCGAAGGTGAAAAGTTGGCGCTACCGTTGACGTGATTGGAATTGAGTTTTTTATATGTATACAAGTGCTACTGTCGGCCAACATCAATTGAGCGTCAATCGTGGATTTGATTTGATGAGCATTGGGTCATAAGCGAGCAGAACGTGAGCAAAAAAAAGGCCTCAAAAAAAAATTGACATCAGGTGCAAGACTTGAAGATTTGCAATCTTTCAGATACGTTCAAGAGCGTGGCATTTATAAGAACAAATCGTAAAGGTGATTAGGGCCTCAAATAACAATCTAAATTAAATTGAAAGGGCTTCTGAAATATATATCTTATTGGAGAAAATTTCAAGTACCAGTTTAAAGATTGAATATTGAACAAGTATTTACCCATAAAACTTCATCCGAAAAAGTTTAAAAATATCTAGAACAATTAGTCCAAATATATCTGGAGAGTTTTAAATACAAAACTTTATTAGAGTAGGACTTGCACACACCAAATCTTCAAGAAAGAAAATATTTAAATAAATTAAAATCGTTTGTTTATGAGCAATCTTTTAGCCTGCCAAGATAGGGGTACTCAGGAATGTTTTTGATTAACAAAAACATTCACACCACAACTCTCAAAGATGACATCACAGAAATCTATGCCCTTGAGTTGTGTGTCTTTGAAAAATTTGAATAAACTAATTTTGAATTTCACATCGTCAAGAAAGGTATATAAAAACACATTCCAGCTTGATAAGACAAAGATTAATATAATGCCAAATATTAAAATACACCTTCCCCCCATTAAATAAAAAAAAAAATTTCAACAAAAGCTTGATCAGAACATTTTGCTTTTATTGATTGCAATATGCTGCATTTTATTTTAATTGATACAACAATAACTCTTTAAACAGCTTCAATCCCACACATAATCTTGATTTATAATGTTGGCAATGCATAAAGGGAAGCCAATAGTTGTAATGTACACATTTACTTCATAACTAGGGAAACAGTTCCCAGGAAACTTCAAAGATATTTAGGTTTAAGCTACAACACTGTAAATTAGCTGCACGATAACTGGACAATTGTATTGCTCAGCATTGTTAAAAGAACTAAACATTAAATGCCTTAAATGGTGGGAAAACCCAAGCGCAAAACTTACTAAGATTCTAATTAGTTAAGCATACTAAAACAAATGCGTGTAAAGTAATTTTTGAAATCGAATGCTACACTTAAAACAACGCAGTGCAAGACTTTTATATTGTGGTCACCATTAAAGGCCACATTCAATTAGACAACAACTCCCCAAAGTGTGGCACGTGCCTAACCCTCCCACAGCTTTAATTAAAACTGACTGAAAAAGCACTCAAATTATAATCCACAAAACGCCCGAAAACGCAATCAAGTGGCGATCAAACAAACGCCACAAAACTTAATTGCTGCACCTTGCGCCACAGCCGAGGCTGCAAGCAAATCAAATACATAACGGCCACGTGACCGCCCAACGCCCCGCAGGCGGCTGCTGCTGCGCAGCACGAGACAAGTGCGTCCGCCACGCGACTGCGGCCGGCGCAAGCTTTCCACAAGTGGCCAAGCCGACAAATATCAATCAGGTGCAAAAAACAGGCGGGAGGCGGCATTGGGTCGGGTTTTGTGTGCATTTGATAATTGGGAAATGAACGGCCAATGAACACACTTGTCCGAGCAGGCTTTAGAGGTCGAACGAGACTTTCGCCAGGCAGCAAGTGCAATATGTGTCAGGCAGTCAACATCCATCCACCACCGAGGCAACAGCAACAACAACAACAACAACAGGAACGGCAGCAACACGAACCGGGCTGTGGCCTAAATTGCAAGCAGCTGCCACTCGAACCGTGGGATATTTTTCCCCTAACCAACTGAGGGCCATCGAACCTTATCCATGGGAACCACAACTGCTCGACGCTCTCAATATTTATTTTGTGCGTTCGTTATATTGAATAAGTAAAAAACAAAATAAGGGAAAGGAAGCCTCGACAATGAGGGGTGCGGACGACTGACACGATTATCCTGCACGTGTTGAGCTTGCTCTCCACTCGGCCTGATGAGCCTGCGCTGAAAGCGTGGCAGGCAAGCGTTGGGCGGCTGCTGTTGCCACAGTTGTTGCTGCTGTTGCTTTTGCTTTTTGCTCTGAAACTTGCAACATCAGTCAGCCGCGTGCTGGCCACATGTGTTGCCCATGTGGCACTTGTCGCTGGGTGCTGCCGCTCTTCTTTGATTGGGTGGTGGTTGTGGTGTTTTTTGGGCGGGAAGCTGAGCTATATAAGCGCGACACTTGCCACGCCAGTAGCACAGTTGAAATTTGCAACGCGAAGCGCTAACAACAACCTAAACAAAACTATGTCTAAAGTGAAGAATCTAATTGCCAAAATGCTGCAGCGTCGCGGCAAGTGCAACGTAAGCGGCAGCAGCAGCAGCGGCCACAGCAACAACAACAACATCAGCCACTGCCAGCACTATGAGAGTCTAGAGGAGATTGCCCAAAATCAGGCCAACGAACGCATGCTGCAGGAGACAGCAATGGGCACACATCAATTGCTCTTTTGCCTGGAAACCGCAGACGGCAGCTTTTATTGGCATGCACAGTAGCAACAGCAACAAACAAACAAACAAACAAGCAACAACAACAAACCGGTAGATAGAAACGGTCAAATGTATGAATGAAAATACTTCTTCAATGAAGCCATCCCATCCAGTTAGCCCGTCAGCCAGTCAGCCGGTCATGCGAAACTAGTTGCATGCAACATATGAGCAAGTGGGAAACAAGTTGCCAATGCAATCGGCCAAGCAGACATCAATGGCAACAATGTCAACGTTGTCCCGGGCTAGGTGTCAATTAAGTATTTAATACCAACTTTATGCCAACTTTAAATACCTTGTGATATACATTTACATACTCGGAATCTATCAGAGTTTAGTTCATAGTGCCAATAGTATAAATGTTGTTAACTCTTAATCTAATAAAAAATCAATTAAAATATAAAAAAAAACTATGCCTTGTATTGGTTTTCAGATTGATTTTAATATTTATGGTAAATCACATATAGTTCAATTCGATAAAAAAGTATTAGGTTTAAACATATGTGGTTTTATTAAATAATTGTTTCGATAAGACCCGAGTGACTGAAATTACAGACTATTATTATTATTATTATTATTATTATTTCTAGTATTATTATTATCATTATTATTATTATTATCATTATTATTATTATTATTATTATTATTATTATTATTATTATTATTATTATTATTATTATTATTATTATTATTATTATTTTATTACTTTTATTTATTATGTTTACAGTGATCATTCACACGTAAAGGGGCTGATGGTAATTTAATTAACTATGATCCTAGTGCCTAATTAATTATGGGACATTCTAAAATGCATCGCCTGACCCTTTATCAATTTCAAAAACAGATGAATTCTCAAAGCTTGAATTCGCATAGGGTCGATAATAACATCCTGTCTCCAGAAACTTTGCAATTCAATAAACCGCATAACTGCATACCAGTTACACACGCCCAGTAAGCTTCTCGAAGTACAGTGCAGCGACCCTTTCACGCCTGTGCCGCCCCACACACCCCTCTTTTCAGCCTTCTAGCCTGTCATTTTACGTGTGTCTGTCGCGCGTTATTACGCGGTTCAAGCATGCACACACATACAATTGCACAGCCACAGCAACAACGGCAATAACAACACCAACAACAAGAGCCACAACGATGGAAGGGCATTGCATTGACAATATGCGAAGCAACCCCCAACCCCGTTGTGTACCCAAATGTGCCCCTATTGAGATCGACGATCCGTTCGCCATGTGCAGTTGAAAAAATGTTCTCACACTCTCGAAAGATTGTAACGGCTTGCTGTGCAGCACACTCTCAGCACGCCATGCTCATCATGGCTTGCCATCTCATCCCCCTGCGCTCAATGTGATTGTCTCACTCTCTCGCCGTCGATCGGCTGCTCGCACTTCCTGCCCGTGGCCAAACTGGCCACGTATATTGTTTATATAGTTAACGAATGCGATACATTTAATCTTTAGTGTGTGTCAATTTGCTGTACAGTCATTTAGTTTGCATGCCCCGCACAGCGTCCCTATCCTAAATGCTCGTTACCCGATTCCTGGTCCCCGGTCCCACGACGTGCCCAGGCATGCCACTTAGCGTGGCCCAAGTGTTCAACAGAAGCTACAATTCAGCATTCATAATTGACAACAAGAACAACAACAACAACAACAACGGCGACGGCAACAACAGCAAAGAGGAACCTCTGGGCCACGTCGGGCAAGAAAAAAATAAAAGGCAGGTGGTAGTTTTTTTCGGCAGTACTGTCCACACCACTCGCCATGACTCGATCTTAGGCACGGTCAGATTTACCGTGGGACAAGTGCATAAATATTTTGGTACAAAATTAATGTGCTGCAAAATTTAAAATTTAATAAAAATAAATATCAGAATAATCCATTAGCAAATGGAATCTGTGTTTTTTTTTTTAATTTCTTTCTCAAATCTTTTAAAACCCACTCTTCTGGTTCAACTTAACTGTCTTCCACTTCGGTCTAAAATTCCTTTTTCATATACTTCCCATGCTCATCAGCGCAACCTGCAAATAAACGTAAATATCTGTTCACATCTACTTAATACGAAATTTTCTAGACGTTGTCAATTTTAAAATACACCACGACCTTGCAAAATCACCTTACCCCGAGTCACCACTCGCAATATTTCCAAGATTTCATTCACACAGTTAGTACCGAAATCCCTTATACTTACCGTTTCAAATACAAAACATGCCACGCTGTTCAACAACAAATTTTCCACATTTTACCTTGCCACACTAAATGTTTTTGAAACTCAATTCCCACGCACAGGCACTTTCAGAAATCCTAAAACTAACCGTATCAAGTTAGAAGCACAGCACGTAAAATCCACAAAATACATTTACCTAGACTCTAGAATTTTACACGTACTAGAAACATGTATTGGAAAATCCTATGAATTCATTCAATTAAACGTTGTACAAAATTCCGCATGTGCTTTGCCCACTGTGCAATGTGCATAAGGGCTCAACTCGGGGACTCGGTCTCTCTCTCTCTCTCTCTCTCTTTGGCTCTTTGGCTCTCACTCTCTCACCCTACACGGCCGGCCGATTATAACTTATAACACCAACGAGCGAGAAAAATCTTGTGGGAAACTTGAGGGCAAAGTGTTTCCCACGATTCGAACCTCAATGTAAAAGAAAACAGAGAAGAGCTAAAAGCAGCAACAACAACAACCAGCTGAACATGTGCAACAACCACCACCACCACCACCAACACACAGACGCACCATCAGCTTCATCCCCTGCCAAGACAGAAACTTGTTTGCCGAGGCAACAAGAGAAAAACCAACCACCAGCGGACGAGGATCGTTACAAGGCGCAGACGCAGACGCAACGAAAGCCGAGCGCCCAGAGCCGAATAGCCGACCCGACCCGACCCGACTAGCCGAGCGACCCAATGACTGAGTAATTTGCTCGGCAGGTGGTGTTGTTGTTGTTGCTATTATTACTGTTGTTGCTGCTGCGCCTCAGCTCTCTGCTGGCAACTCTCTGGGTGCGTGCGCTGAGCACGAGACGCAGTCGAAGTCGACGTCAACGTCGAAGTCGAAGTCGGCACGTGCAGCTATAAAAGCAGCGGTAACTGGAGACGACAGCAACATTCTCAACGCAAACGTCGTGAAGTACACACGCATCCAAGCAACCAGTACATCTCTTCTTACATCACAAACAACAACCATGGCCACCAAATACGAGTTATCAAAGACCTATCAGTACCGCAAGGTGATGAAGCCGCTGCTGGAGCGCAAACGTCGCGCACGCATCAACAAGTGCCTGGACGATCTTAAGGATCTGATGGCCGAGTGCGTGGCACAAACTAGCGATGCCAAATTCGAGAAGGCCGACATTTTGGAAGTGACTGTGCAATACTTGCGCAAGCTGAAGCAAACCAAGTCCGCAAATGCCACTGCATCCGCAACGGAGCACAGTTTTCGCGCCGGCTATATTCGTGCCGCCAATGAAGTTTCCCGCGCGTTGGCTGCATTGCCCAAAGTAGATGTCGCCTTTGGCACCACACTGATGACACATCTCGGCATGCGTTTGAATCAACTGGAACAGCCCGTGGAGCAGCCATCGCCAATGGCACCGCATGCACCTCTGAGCATCAACTGCGGCTCTGGCTACTCCACAAGCAGCAGCCGCGACGCCTACAGTCCCGTCTCCAGCGGCTATGCCAGTGACAGTGATTGCAGCTCCGGCTCATCCACGCCCATCGCCGCTCAATCTTTGCTGCAGATCAGCAACACCGGCAGCGTCTGGCGTCCGTGGTAATTGATGGCGCCGGGCAGTCATCGGGACACGCACGCAATTCAACTGTAGCTTTACAATGCTTTACAATGATCTTCATTTTGTCTCCAATTAAGTGTTACGCAGTTTTGTAAGTTAGGTCTGTGATAGGGCACGTTTTATTGACTCCATTATAGCAATTAGCCAGAAGTCTGTTAGCCAATATAAATGTTTTTAGTTTAAGAAAAATATATGAAAACATAAATATGAACAACAAATACGAAAACAAAACTCTTATATCTTTTATTTGGAATTGCTGAAGCCAGTTATTTATTTCAGTTATGCACATTCCAATCAGAATGATTCATATGCTTGTTAAATAACAGTTACTCATGGAATGCTAATTTTCCAATAGGTAAAATGTACAAATGAATTAAATGTAAATATGCTGATTTTCAATTCTTTCAAAATATACGAAAGTTAAATTTATAAAAGTCTATTTTATTTATATTATTTAAAAAAAAAACTCCTTTATTTGCTTTCTTATATTTTTTACCTAATACATTTTGAAGTAGGAATATTTGATTCGTGTACCCTGTATTCTAAAAAGGAAGGTTTACTAATTTTGACAAATGTCAAAAGGCATCTTCATAAATTTAAATAAGTCACTTCTAGAGCTGTTTTTGCAGCCGTCAATTTACTTTATTTTATTGAAATTGGAGTTGTAAACACCGAAATTATTATTTATTATTATACTGTGACTTGTCTTTTCTTAGAAAAACTATATATTTATATTATTTTATTATACGAATATTATACAGAGTAACTCCTAGTATCTATCGAATCTTTTTGAAACAAATTCCACTTTCTTACCCACTTAAAAGGTTCGTCTTATGCAATTGGATTCCCAACGGGAAATCTGAAAATCTGAACCTAACTAATTAAACACTAATTAGTATACGTTTTGATTGCGACCGCACGTGCTGCAAATAAATACCTTTTAACTAACACAGATACTTAATGATTGTTAATCTATAGTAAAATGTTTTGGTATCTCATTTTCCAATTAATTATCAATTTATCAATTAGCAGCCGCAGAGAACAAAAACAATAACAAGAACGAGAAATTGATCAATTATTAATGATAAGTGTTAAATACGTACTACATACCAGATGTCAGGGGGTTGCAACTAAGCCACCGATCACCCAGCGATCACATCAGCTAAACCACGCGTCGCCAGATCAGAGCACACTTTCGGCGTCCGCCTGACCTGGTTGGTAGCCCAAGCCATAGGCCAAAGCCAAAGGAAGCCAATATGCCACACTAATTGTGTCCAATAAACACTCAGCGGGCAATGAGAACAAGAAACAGGGATCGGGGCAGAGACCGCATTATGCCATCATCATCTGCATACATTGATGAAACAATAAGCAAAAGATGGCACGGCAGGATAACAATGGGAACGGGAACGACCCACGCACACGCACAGGATGAGGCAGTGAAGTATGCATTAAGGATAATAACACCGGCCTAAAGAGCAACTACAGCGGCAGCAGCAGCAGCAGCAGCAGCAACAACAACAGCAACAACAACTGCATGGCGATGCCCAAAACAGCGACAGCTGCAAAATTTGTGCTCTGATCCTTTAAAAAAGCGAAGCATGTGGCCAAAAGGAAAACAAACGAGAAAAAATTGTGTGAGAAACTTACTTTCAGGTCGGTTCCCACGCCACGAGCCACAAGGATTGCCGATTGTCCTCCATGCCAGCCGCACATTGCAGCTGTTCCTCTGCTCAACGCCTGATGACGCCTGCGCGTCAGAGGGAGAGCCCTGCCATTGCATGCAACGGACATGCGCGTGCGAGCGAGACGGGGCGCGCTCATGCGTAGCACTGGCCGAGGGTGGATTCTGAACTTGGAACCGGCTATAAAAGCGACGCAGTGGCAACCAAAGGGCATCATTCACGATACAGCCAGCAACAAGGCAACTACGAGCATTTCTGCATCGCCTGTGCGCACTTGAAATTCATATAAATTTACGTAAAAATGGAATACACCAGCAAAACACAGATCTACCAGAAGGTGAAGAAACCGCTGCTGGAGCGTCAGCGTCGAGCACGCATCAACAAGTGTCTGGACACGCTAAAGACACTTGTCGCCGAGCTGCGCGGCGATGATGGCATTCTGCGCATGGATAAGGCCGAGATGCTTGAATCAGCTGTGGTATTCATGCGCCAACAAAAGATGGGCAAATCAGAAACAGCAACACCAGCGTCACCAGCTATGCCATTGGAGAGCTTCCGCAACGGTTACATGAATGCAGTCAATGAGGTGTCACGTGTTATGGCATCCACACCTGGCATGAGCGTTGACCTCGGCAAATCGGTAATGACGCATCTGGGCCGGGTCTACAAGAATCTACAGCAGTTCCATGAGGCACAAACAATGTCCGAATCGGAGGCGACAACCGAGCTGAGCATCAACTGCAGCTCGGCGCCGCTTAGCCCCGCTTCATCAGGCTATCACAGTGATTGCGAGAGTCCTGCACCATCGCCGATGCCAGTGGAGGGCGAGAAACTGTGGCGCCCCTGGTAAGGCATCCGGCAAAGGGCAGCTACTTGGAAGAAGACAAAAGACAACGCAACTGTGATAACCAACTGTGATGGGAACAAAACAATTAGCAAAAGCAAAACAATTAAATAAATGCAATTAAGAATCATAATATTATATATGAGTTTTGATTAATAGGGGTTGGGCAACAGAAGGGTGACTTTCGCTTTAAGCCTTATTTATTGAAATAACAGGCAACCCTTGCAGCGTTTTCAGACAGAAATTTAATTTAAATAGAACGATGATGCATATATGGCAATTATATCATAATATATGTTTTATATTTTAGTAAGGGAAATGCGTCCATGCATTTGAGCTTGAATAACAAATCCCTGCTAATCATCGGGATGTGCAAAAGATCCCCCCCTTTATAATTTCCCTTGATAGTTGTCGTCTTAATGAAGTAATTTATAAGCTTTTTTCAGATAGTCTCGTCTTTTCAAAGTACAAAATTTATTTAAAGACAATTTTCAAAATATTTTGAATGTACCCAAATTTATTTATGATTTTAATTTTAATTTTATATAATGTAAACATATGTGTAAAATTTGCACATATATTTATTTAATTTAATTAAATATATTTAATCACATGCTAATTACTTTGCACTGATTTTTAAATTTCGATTACGTGCAGTATCAATCGTTGCTCGTGCTCTACAATGTTGCATGTTGATAGCATTGACGTACCATCAAATTCGATAAATCAAAGGGGCCAGTCGATAAATTGTGGCGGCCATTCGATACATATAAATAATAAAGTGATGAGATATATCTAGCGATATATCGTCGGCTTTTTATTTTTTCCACGCATTAAATTTACTTTCGAGGTTTAAAAACAAATCGGCAGCGAAGTTTACTAACTTTCATAAGTAATTGTGCATTGCGTGCGGCTTAAAACATTGTCGGATAGCAATTAAAAGCAGCCTTAAATCGAACTGCAAAATAGACGGCTAAAGCAGATGCGAAAAAATAGAGACGAGAACGAGAACGCCACACAACACATACACGACGCGCAGGCTGGCTGTCAGACGTAGCGAGTCGGTCGGTCGGTCGGTTGAAGAGGCCAGTTTTTACAGGCAAAATCCGAGTAAAAAATTAAGTTTTTTTGCACTGAAAAAGTCGGCTCGTGCAAATATCAGTGCAGTGTATGTGTACGCACACAAAGTGGCAATAAAATGTGCAATTGTACGGAAAGCTAAACACCCAAATGTAAATTGGTACTGCCAACTACTCCGTTTTTTAATTGCTTTTGTTTATTTTTTGTTGGGCCAATTTTTCTTTTGCGCTGCGCTCGTGTGTGCGCGTGTGTTTGTGTGTATGAGTTTTGCCACTCGTCCGTTCAGGGTGCGCGCGCGTGTATAAGTCTGTCTGTCTGTTTGCATGTATGTGTGAGTGGTCAACTCGCTGTCGCAAGTAGTGTTGCTTGGAAATTACAATTTCTGTTGGATATTTCCTTTGTTTGTATATAAAATATTTTGGTTGATTGCTGCAATGTCTCAAAGTGATTAAAGGCAGGATTCGCTATATTAGAATATAACTAAGTGTCTTGGGCTCCTGCCTAGTGGCAATATTTTTGCTCCGGTTAAAGGTGGCAACCCTGCGTAATTGCAGTCTATCTGTATGTGTATTGCACGGGGTACATTTGTTTGTACAGAGCGTGCGGGCAGCGTGCATTGCTTTTGCAAATATTACATGCCACAATAATGTGGAAATAGTTTAGCAAGAACATCCCATGCTTCCTAAAAAGTGAACGATAAATTTTTACCTTATGCCGCATGCTTATTTTTTGCGTAACAATTTGCTCAGGCACATGCAACTGTGCGTTTGATTTTTTCGGCGGTAAACACTCACACTCATACCCTCGTACGTGCGTAGTCCTCTAAATGTGTGTGTGTGTGTATATGTGCTCACTCGTTGTTGCTGGCATGGCTGCCATTGCTGAGATGCTCAAAAATACGTGAGCGCGCTTGTGTTAGTGTGTGTGTGTATGTATGTGCGTGAGATTCTACGTATCGAAAAAAATGGTGCAAAATAACGACCAATAACTAAGAAACGTAAAAATTCCCATTGCAGGATATCCGCAAAACGCTAGACAATATGGAAACGCAGGAGTTAAACTAAACCTAAAATCACAACAAAAGCAAATAAACGCTTGCAAAATTATATACATGCTCCGGTGTTAGTGCTGCTAATTTCGGCAGAGGAGAGTTCAATCTCAGGGTGCCAGCAGCAGCGGGCAGCGGCGCGCTGCCAACAGGAAGAGGAAGCATAAGCAATTCGCTCAACCACAGGCTACGAACAAAATATATATAAAAAAAAATTACGGTACAAAAAACTACAACTGTTACTTGTTGTTTTTCCCCTCGTCCCTGGTTGAGCAACAATTTAGAAACAATAACAACAAGAACAGCAACACAACAACAATGTATCCCGCACCGGTGCGTCACCCCGCCGCCGGGGTAAGTATACAGATTGCACTGGGACCCAATCAAGTGTTTTGCTAATTGTGTTTCGCCCCCATGTCCATCTTCAATACGTACAGGGACCACCACCTCAGGGTCCAATCAAATTTACCATTGCCGATACACTGGAGCGCATCAAGGAGGAATTTAATTTTCTGCAGGCACAATATCACAGGCAAGTATCTACGACACATCGTTACCCAATAGGAAACCCAACCAAACAGCTTAAAGATAGGCTTATATGATTAGGAAAATTCCATCATTATTTTGATGCATAATAGATTAATTTCAAGTTTATGTAATACTTTCCGTATGACCGCTCTATGTACACTGTTTAGATACATTTGGATAATATATTTTTAAGTTAAGCTTTATACGGGGCAAAGCTATAGTAAAGTGATGTCATGAAAACGTCCGTTCTTTTTTCATGCATCTGCATGGTAGGTAGTTTTTATCTCGCACAATTCAAGGGTTAAAAGTCTCAAAAAACTGTTCTCTAACGAACATTCTACACTAAAATAGAATAAAGAATTTCCGATTTCGAATTCTTTTATATATATAACAACAACAAAAACAAAAAATTGAATTTTGTAGTTTTTCATGATTACATTCTCTGCTGGGCTATTGCTGCTTTTCAGTCTCGCATGTCTTTGGCTGTGTGTAAACCGGTTTGCCAGGCAACGCGCCATATGCGTTGCTGGTCATAGGATTTTTTAGCCGGCGCGACGACGGAAGCGTTGCCCGAGATTTCTTTCAACTAAACTAATTTGGCCTTTTGATTATTTTTCCTGTGAATTTCAGCATCAAATTGGAGTGCGAGAAGCTGGCAAACGAAAAGACCGAAATGCAGCGCCATTATGTTATGGTAAAAATAGTTATTAATGATCAACTTTCAATTTCAGTATGTTTTCTAATCATATTCTCCCACACGTTTCAACGCAGTACTATGAAATGTCCTATGGCCTTAATGTGGAAATGCACAAGCAAACGGAAATCGCCAAGCGTCTAAACACACTGATCAACCAGCTACTTCCATTCCTACAGGCCGATCATCAGCAACAAGTGCTGCAAGCGGTAGAGCGTGCGAAGCAGGTCACAATGCAGGAACTCAATCTGATCATTGGGGTAAGTTCTTCCATGGTCACCAAGTGATATGCCCAAGTTACGTTATAGCGAACTAATTGTATATACATTTTGATTTCGTAAGACTTTTTACCTTATTCACAACGTAGGAATCGATATAAGAACTTTTAGAAAAATTAACCCGAATTAAGAATTTCAATTTTTTTTACTAAAATTAAGATAATTTATTTGCATTTATATGAGTAAATTGGCCTACTAAATTTAATAAACAAAAAATCGTGTGCTCGCAAACTAGAAACTATTAAATGATATCCTTTTTAGCCGGCCATTATGTTCATAAATTGTTTTTACCAAATTTATAATTAAGACAACTGAACTTAAAAATGAAAAGACAGCAAGTAATTTTGAAGCAGTCGAAAATATCAAATTAAAATTTGTATTATCCAAAATAGAAAATTTTTCAAACATCTATTAATATTTATCATACATGGAAATGTGTACAGTAGATTAGACTTAATATCATAAAATTATTTTCTCGGACTCTATTTCATTAAGAGGACTATTTCCATTTATGCCCGATTCGCAATTTGCGAGTGAATCCTGAATCCAGTATTGATTTGACCTCCATTTGGGGCTAAGATTTTTGTTTTCCTTCTGTTATTTGATCGATGACCTTTAATTTATTTTAAGATTTTTGTATGTGTTTTTCATATTCGCGGAACAATTTACAATTTTGAGCGACAATCTTCAGATGTGAATATAATATACTGAAAATTCTAGAAACATTCATACTTTGAACAAAATAGGCTTTTTAGTACGGCGCTTTTTACCAACTACCGTGATTCACTTAACGAAAAGTGTACTACACAACAATTTTATAGTTTTGCGACTTATTTGACCAACTTGTTATTTTTTATATTTTTTTTGTATAATATTGAAACAAACTACGATCAATACAAAATGCCTTTGACATAATTTTGAAAACGATGTGTGTGTGCGTACAATATGCGTGTGCCTATAGCAGCATCAGCAGCAACATGGAATACATCAACTTTTAGTAAGTTTTTATTATTTTGTTTATTTGCCGTTTGCGTTCGTTCGTTTGTTGGTTGTTTGCTTGTTGCATTATTTCTGGCTCGCCTCTCCAGAAGGTGCCTTTCATTTTATTATTAGTTTTGATGTTAATATTGCGTCAGTTCTAAGCCGCCGCTTGTTTTTCTACTTTTCGATGTTGTTGGTGTTGTCTGCACACACGCGCACAGCTGCATCAAAATAGCTTTTGTTACGTCCCAAAGCCAAATAACAGAAAATTTAAAGCTCATGCACTTACATCAGCATTTGTTCAACTAACTAACTGCCTGCGGCTTTCCAATTGCAGCAACAAATACACGCACAACAGGTGCCAGGCGGGCCGCCACAGCCGATGGGCGCTCTAAATCCGTTTGGTGCATTGGGTGCCACGATGGGCTTGCCACATGGGCCACAGGGCTTGCTTAAAGCGCCGCCTGACCATCAAAGGCCGGATATAAAGCCCATGGGCTTAGAGGGACCAGCGGGCGCTGAAGAGCGCTTGGTAAGCAACGTCAACTAAAATCCTATAATATCAAATTCTTATCAAATTATTGCTCTGTTGCAGCGCAATTCGGTTTCACCAGCGGATCGTGAGAAATATCGTACGCGCTCGCCACTGGATATTGAGAACGACTCGAAACGTCGAAAAGATGAAAAACTGCAAGTGAGTATCGTGTTTTAGTAAACGCATATATCATATAGTATACTCGACTCATTATGTCATCAGCAGTTGCTGCCTCTCAACTCACCAAATAAAAAAAAAAAACATATTCTTATAATATATAGTAGCCTACCTCATATGTAGTTGTTGTCTATTCTAATCCACTGTCACTTCATGCGCTTCATAAAGTCGAAATGAAAATCAATATATTATAATTATATTTGTAGTGTAGTGCAATAAACAACTAAATTGTTATTTGTGTTGTCGTTGCTATCGTTGTACGAATTTTGTTTTATTGTTTGTTTGTTTTTTTCAAAATTATTTGCAGGACGATGAAGGCGAGAAAAGCGATCAAGATTTAGTCGTAGATGTTGCAAATGAAATGGTGAGTTGAGTCTCGGCCCTGACATTCATGCAACAAACTCCTCAAAAATTAAATAACAAAATAACATTGCCTAAAACACTCGAAATTTAACTATCGTTCCAATGCCCCTTGCAGGAATCCCACTCACCACGCCCAAACGGCGAACATGTATCAATGGAGGTGCGTGATCGTGAGAGTCTAAACGGCGAGCGTCTGGACAAACCGGGCGGCAGTGGCATTAAACAGGAGCGCCCGCCTTCGCGTTCAGGCTCCAGTTCATCGCGTTCCACACCCAGCCTCAAGACAAAAGATGTAAGGCAAATATTGATTGGCACTAAGGGGTAGACATTTCTATATCTATAATCTAACCATGAAGCATGGCTTATTAAATTAAAATTTAAACAATGTTTTAAAACAAACATTATTAAGCGGGTCAGAGGGTGAAAACGTACTTAAATATCAAACTAATTGTATTTTTTTTTTTTAATTTATTATTTTTACAATTGATAGATGGATAAACCGGGCACACCGGGCGCGAAGGCACGTACACCGACACCAAACGCTGCAGCACCATCTCAGGGCGCAAATCCTAAACAAATGATGCAACAAGGTGGCCCACCGCCGGCTGGCTATCCAGCGTCACCGTATCAGCGACCGGCGGATCCCTATCAGCGTCCACCATCGGATCCCGCCTATGGACGACCGCCGTTGCCGTACGATCCGCATGCGCATGTACGAACAAACGGCATTCCACATCCCTCGGCACTAACGGGTGGAAAGCCGTAAGTGCACCATAAATGATATCCGTTTAAAAATGAGTACTTATGTATATTTTCTTTGGGAATAGTGCATACTCTTTCCATATGAACGGCGAGGGTAGCTTGCAGCCGGTGCCATTTCCGCCGGACGCGCTGGTAGGCGTTGGCATACCAAGACATGCGCGACAAATAAATACGTTATCGCATGGCGAGGTCGTCTGTGCGGTGACTATTTCAAATCCTACAAAATACGTTTATACTGGCGGCAAGGGCTGCGTCAAGGTGTGGGACATCTCACAGCCGGGCAATAAGAATCCCGTCAGCCAGCTGGATTGCCTGCAGCGCGATAATTATATACGATCGGTGAAACTGCTGCCGGATGGACGCACACTCATTGTCGGTGGCGAGGCATCGAATCTATCGATATGGGATTTGGCCAGTCCAACGCCACGCATCAAGGCCGAGCTAACCTCAGCGGCGCCTGCCTGTTATGCGCTCGCCATCAGTCCCGATTCGAAGGTGTGCTTCTCGTGCTGCAGCGATGGCAACATCGCTGTCTGGGATCTGCACAATGAGATACTGGTACGTCAGTTCCAGGGTCACACGGACGGTGCCTCGTGCATTGACATCAGTCCGGATGGCTCAAGATTATGGACCGGCGGCCTGGACAATACAGTGCGCTCGTGGGACCTACGCGAAGGTCGCCAGCTGCAGCAGCACGATTTCAGTTCTCAAATATTCTCGCTTGGCTACTGTCCCACAGGTTAGTATGCACTTCATTTATGCTCATAAAACATATAGTATTTTATGTTTCCTTCTTTTGCAAAAGGTGACTGGCTGGCCGTAGGCATGGAGAATTCACATGTGGAAGTATTGCATGCATCGAAACCAGACAAGTATCAGCTCCATTTGCACGAGAGCTGCGTTCTGTCGTTGCGGTTTGCCACCTGTGGCAAATGGTTCGTTTCCACCGGCAAAGACAACCTGCTTAACGCATGGCGAACACCATACGGTGCCAGTATATTCCAGGTGAGGCAAATACTCTAGATCTAAAATAAATACTTCCTATGTCCTACAAAAAATATGCAAAAGCAGGGTCAACTATATAGTTTAATTAATTTGTCCGTGTGAAAGCTTCTATGCTTTCTTTAACATAATAATTGATATCAATTGGGATGATACACATATATATAATAGAAACTAAAAGTCAACCCATATTAGTTTTAAATTCAACGTTTCCAATAGAGGCAAAATTGCAAGTTTTTGCTATAATTCCCAAAAAGTTGAATCTTTAAAAAACTACATGCATACATTTTATAGAACATGCAAAACAATAACAAAATAAAAGCATTTTTAATATTGTAGCCACTTAGAAAATTTTGAAACTAATACAATAGATACACCCAGATTTAAAGTTAAAAGACAATAAATAAAAAAAAAATAAAAATATAAAAATTAAACTGAAGTTAAATATATTTTATAAGGTTTCTCTTAGCGGCTCCTATTATTAAAAAGTCATTCACACTTGACAGAAAAACCAATTGGCACATATGACTATATATATGTATATTATTAATCAATTTGTATTTGCTAATTGTTTATTTTTGTTGTTTATATCGCTTGCAGTCGAAGGAAACATCATCCGTACTTAGCTGCGACATATCAACTGACGACAAATATATTGTGACGGGTTCGGGCGATAAAAAGGCTACTGTCTATGAAGTTATTTATTAAAAAAACAAAAACAAAAACAACAAAACAAAAAGAAGAACACCAGAGAGGGAATCCACACTTTTCATTTTGTAATAATCGCATATAGGTTTTTATTACAACTACAAAAAAATAATAAAAATGAATAACACATTGTTCGATAGCATGCTAATAACAACAAGCAAACAAACAAACAAACAAACAACAACAGCAACAACAAAGCAGTGGCAGCAGTACAATGCATGAGAGCGAAGTAAAAATTCTATAATATAAATAAAACAAAACAAAAAGAAAGAAAAATATATAAAAAAAAAATTAAGCGTACTTGTAGCTACTAAGCCTAGGCTAAGTCTAATGAAAAGTTGAACACAAATTGCAAAGTAAAAACCTAAAATAATAATAACAATAATAATAATAAAAAATACAGAGCAGAAAACTAAAAAAAAAAGTAATAACAGTCGGCGTTACCTACTACGCTCATCAAAAGAATTAAATGCTGGGTCCTTTTCAATTGTGAACCCAGCATGGATTAGTCATTGCTGGAGCGTTGAGATTATGCATACCAGATGAGAACACGATGTCAGAAATGTGAGTGCTTTTAGTTTGTCCATGTGTTTATATATATGTCGGCAGCGAAGTTTTTTGTGAACAAAATCGAACGTAAATTAATAATTGCGAATGCAACACAAAATTATAAGTTTTTAATTTGTCAATTTGTTTAAATTAGTGACTGCTACCCTGCTACCACAGTGTACTGTACCAACCCACACTTCACTTCCTCTTCGCACACGAAACACATTTGCATGCAGAAAAAGTATATATATATATAAATATAAATGAATATAATTAGTAAGCAGTTTAGTTAAGAATTTTACATTATAAATAAACACAACAATAACAACAAAACGAAGCAGGCGCCGCCGCAACAGCACTTCCACACACACACACACACTCACACTCACACCCACACTTCGCACACACATCAATAGCCGGGGGCGCCAAAGCGGCCAGCTTTTGCTTGTATGTAATTTTGAAAAAAAAAAAAAACATAAGTAAATCCTTTGTCAAAATCCAAACATTTGTAAAATCCTGTTTTGTGCAGCTAAAAAAAGAAAACGGAAAACAAAAACAAAAAATAATATTAAAACAAGCAAATAATTAAAAAAGAACTTGTTTACACATTAGTTTATATAGAAATGAATCGGATATATATATATATACTTATATATATATATATATATATAAATATATATTATATAGAATTGTGGGCACATCTCGCGCCCAGCGAAAATTGTAATAAGCAAAACAGAGAATATAGTGCAGCACACGCTTCGATTTTTAATTTTACAAATATTATTATTATTGTGGTTATATATGTATATAATTATATTATAAATAATTGAAGCAAAACGAAAAAGAAAAATAAAAAATTATATATGTAATCAAAGGTAAAGTTAAACTACTCTTTAAAAGACATCGGTCGTATAGACGCTGCGCTGGCGCGGCACTGGAGCCCCGTGCTGGCGGGATAGCTTCGTGTGCAGCTCCCGTAGTGTCTCACACTGGCGACCCGATGTCTTGCGAAACTTTTCAATGGCGATGGGCAGCAGATTGTCCACCAGAAATATTTTGTTCTTTATAACAAAGTTGGGCTATGAATTAAGAGATTAGTTATTACAAAGTATTAAACTTATCGTTTGTCAACCTACATCCATGGCCATGTCGCTAGGAGGCTTTAATGCGTGCTGTGCCAAAAAGAGATCACGCAGCAACTTCTCCAGACTCGGCAGCAGTGTTTCCCCTTTGGCCAAGCAGCCGCAGTGCTCGGTCAGCTGGAGGAATTGTCGTATAAAGACGAGAGTGGACTGTGTCAAATTCAGCCATGTATCGCCTGTGGTCTGGGAACGCACATCAATGCCAAGCGCATCCAACTCTAGCAGCAATCGCTTTAAATTTGATTTCGTTTGCAAATTATACGGCTGCCAGCTCTCCTCGGTGCGACCTACCGCGTCCAACAGGCGCTGCTTGCACTCTTCAATAAGCGACTCCAGCGTTGTGCGCAACAGACCCTCTAAATGGTAACTTATGTCCAAACCAATCTCTGTAAGCTTCGTGGCAGGCTTGCGCACGCGCTCTACACACTTGGCCACTGCCTCCAGTGAGGTGCCCTTAGTTAGATAGTGTTTGATCAGCTGGCTTGCAAAGTACTGCAGCTCCGCATTGCACCAGACAACAAGAGCTATACAAAAGTAATCATTAGTTAAATCTATGATGTACTCTATCCTAATGGATTGTTATTTACCGCTAACACAAGCAGGCTGCTGTTCAAAGGCGCTGAGAAAATCACATGCTACCTGAGTCAGGTCGCAAAAGAAAAGCTCAGAGATTTCTGCATTATTGCGACGTGCTTCGCGTTGCGCGACACGCAGACTAACCGTGCATACCTTCAGCAATGTGGCACTGGCCTGTCGGGAACGACCCATTTCGACGAGAATCTTCAGGGGTCGTCGGGCTGAGCGCAGTGCAATTTGTAAATTGCGATTGTGACTGTTGGACAGCTCCTGGAGCAGCACATTGGTGAGCTTTTGTTCCTGCTGTTTGACCTTAGCGTCAATGTTGTCCGCCTGGAGCAGCTTCTTTTTGTTCTCGGCCAGGCGCAGAAACTCTTGCGTGCGCTTAATCAGCGACTGTGCGTCCTCGAAATGGCGTTGCGCTACAAGCGTTTGGATTTCCTCGCTGGCCGTGCTTAGCCATTCGGGCGTTTCATCCTCCAGGGATTTTGGCTGCCTTTCTGTGGGACTTTCTTCAGGCAGCTTCTCAGGCGTGGCGCTTTTCGATTGGGACTGCTGTTGCTTGGCACGATTTGGTGGCTGCGGCGCTTGTCCCTTCTTTGATTTCTTTTGCTGATCAAAACGAAAGGCTTCTTCCAATTTCTCAATCCATTCGCTCTTGCCGGCAGCTGTTATGCTCTGATATATCTTGGAGCCATCAGGCGTTATGATGTTAATGGCATTCTTGACGCCATCCAGATCCTTGATATTAATAACGGCTATCTTCTTGGGATCGTATTCCGTAAGAAACTCGAGCCGTCTGCGAAAAAGATGTTATAAATATTATATGAGAGGTGTTAAGAATTATATATTAAGCTGACATACTTATCATGCTTCACTTTGCACACGATGAGCACATCATTGAACAGAAAAAAGAAGACACGCTGTATGGGCCGGTAGTCATTACCATCCAGCTCGATAAGTGCGCCCTCGTTTAGGAACGTTTTGCCCTCGAGATTTCCATTAAAACCCTGCACCATTTCCTTAACAGCGCGTGTGGCATGACTGTTCTCCACGTCCTCAGTAGCTGCACTGTTCTCCGCCTCGATACTGTCCGCTTTCAGGTGACTGCTCGTCTTGCCATCGGTCATGCTGGCCAAAATGTTGCGTTGCTCGATCAATATATGCGACAGCTGATACATCTCCGACTCCAGATCTATGAATACGTTTGACATTAGCTCTGGCAAGAAGGAAAAAAAAACCATTTTTTTTTTTGTACGTGATATCTCCTTGGCGGTTTGTATGAACTGCATATAGTTCTTTTTGCAGGTTTGCTTGAGCGTTGCCGACGTCTGCTCATTGTAGGCCTCAATTTCCTTTTTACGCTGCTGCAAATCGCTGCCGCCCACACACTCCCGTGTCAGCTCCTTCGTGTCTATGTAAGGGAAAAGAAAGTGCTTAAAGCAAGTCAGGCTATACAACAGGAACACCTACATTTATCCACGCTAAAATTAATATCATCGAACTCCTTCATTGTACTGCAAAAAATTAAACACAAGACACGGAAGATTTAGCGTCTGTTGTTGTGGGCAGAACTATGCATACGTTAACGTAGGCGAAAACGTTAACGTAAACATAACATTTATACGTAGTGTGGTGTAATGCGTAGTATGGTGTTCGCATGTTCTGCAAAGTGTAAGCAAAAATAAAAACAATACAACAACACAATTTTTGAATGCACCAAGATTTTACTAGCAAACTTAAGCAAATTTAAGTTGAGTAATGTATTTATATATTTCAATAATGTATTTAATTTGAAATTTTGAAGCCTATTAGAAATGAATAACAATCAATGAAACTGTGCTCTAGTTCAATTATAAAATTATTCCAACAATCTGCCTTCAATTGTCGTATGTACATTTGAAATTATTAAGTAAATTGGCATACACAGTTATTTTGAACTAATAAGTAAGGAGGCACATATTAATAACAAACGTTATTTTGTTGACAGAAATACTTTGCTTACCACGCTTTAACTGTTAACTGTGGGAGTTTTCTGTTAAATCTACAAGAACGGCTGTTAAAAAACTTTGTGGCAACGCTGCACCACAATTGTTTTGATGAGTAATTCACAAGACTTTTATTTCTACACAGTTCTTAAGTCGTAAATAGTTATTAATTTCGTAAAATGGATTGGCTTTTTGGCAAAAAGATCTCACCGGATGAGATGCTGCGTAAGAATCAGCGTGCCTTGAATAAGGCAATGCGTGATTTGGACCGCGAACGGATGAAAATGGATCAACAAGAGAAGAAAATCATTGCCGACATCAAGAAAATGGCCAAAGAGGGTCAAATGGATGCGGTCAAGATCATGGCCAAGGATCTAGTGCGCACGCGTCGATATTCCAAGAAGTTTATGCTCATGAAGGCAAACATTCAAGCGGTCTCGCTAAAAATACAAACGCTTAAATCTCAAAACACAATGGCCCAAGCAATGAAAGGTGTGGGAGGGTTTGCCCATGGGTGATTCATATTTTACTCATCCGTCCCTATATTTGTAGGTGTCACCAAGGCCATGCAGAATATGAATCGACAACTGAATCTCCCGCAAATACAAAAGATACTCCAGGACTTCGAAAAGCAGTCGGAGATGATGGACATGAAGGAGGAGATGATCAACGACGCCATCGATGATGCCATGGAGGATGAGGGCGATGAGGAAGAGACCGATGCCGTTGTCTCTCAAGTGCTAGACGAACTGGGCCTGCAGCTAGGCGAACAATTGGGCGATCTGCCAACTGCCTCCGGCTCTCTGTCGATAGCAGGTGGTGCGGGTGCCCAGAAAGCAGCTTCGGCTGTCGCTGCAGGTGGTGCCGGCGGCGGACCTGCTACTGCTGGTGCCGGTGCAGGTGCTGCTGCGACTGGCGGCAGCGGTGGCTCTACACCCATGTCCGATGCGGACGCAGATTTGCAGGCGCGCCTGGACAAGCTGCGCAAGGACTAGTTAAGCCCCGCTATCACCTGCCGTTTTATATACTAGCCCGCTGTTGTTTTTAAGTAACAAAAATGTTATTATCTTTAATATGCCCATATTCCCTCACGCAAAAATCGTATCGCAACTGTGTAAACTTTATGATAACAAGCGTAAATATATATTTAAGTAAGGGGGGGAGATAAAATTAAGATTAGACACACATAAGGAAACACACATAATTGAATCTAGAACGTGAACTAAGTAAGTGGGCAATTTCATTGGAAGCCGTTGGCCACAAACACTCGCTCTACATCCTGGAACACCTTGTCCGCATCGGGACTGGCATCAATGGTCTTCACCTGGCCGACACTCTCGAAGTATTTAATGATGGGTAACGAGTCGTTGTTATAAGTTTGAATGCGCTTCTTCAGACTGTCCATGTTGTCGTCGGTACGGCCGGATCCGCTCTGACCGCGGCCCAGGCAGCGCTGAACACACACATCCTCAGCGCAGTCAAAGAACAGCACGAACTGCAAGTCCGTCTTACCGGACATTTGACGATTCCAGCCGTCCAGATTATCCTGGTTGCGTGGGAAGCCATCGATGAGAAACCGCGATTTGCCCGAGTTTTTCATCGCATTTTCCAGCAGCGAACACGTGACCTCAACGGGCACAATTTTTCCATTACGTATGTAATCCTCAATTAGCTGGCCATACTCGGATCCCTCGCGTGCACGCTCCTCACGCAATAAATCGCCAGCCGACAAATGCGTAAACTGAAAACGTTCAACGATTTTTGAGCATTGCGTGCCCTTGCCAGCACCGGGGCCACCCAATACGAAAACAACCTTTGGCTTCACAGTGGACATTCTGTGTTTTAGTCTTGTGAGCAACGCTTGGTTGTGTAAGCGGAGGTAATTTGTTTTGTGTATGTTGTTGTACAGCTGGGAATGTTGGAATTGCTGAGGTAGCACTGCGCCTCCTTGACCAAGGGACTCAAGTGTTTTTGCTATACGCGTAAAAGCGCGCCACATTGACAACTGAGACGAATCGTGGCGTGTATACCTAAGAAATTCCAATGGAAACTTATGTTGTGACGTCACCACTAAGTCGCCAGCTGTTACCGATGAAGCAGCAACAATGCGCGTATAACAACACTGGCTGCCAATTGAGCGCGAAAAAATGTGTATCAATTTTAAATGCATTTCAAATATAATTTAGTATATTAATTTATATAAAAAATAAATTTAAATAAGTTGCGCTTGGTTTTTTTGTACTAAGTCAGCCACCAGTTGATAAGGTATAATATGTTGTGAGCCTGGCGTAAGATCAACTTCCTCGTCATCAACGCCCACTATAACGCCAGACACTAAAAGCAAATATATTTGTTATAATTAAAACTTAAATTATATATTATATGTATACGCTAAACGCACCTGCCACGTTCGCTTTGAGAAAAACATGGCTCATGAGATTGGGCGCGACAATTCGTTGTTCGGCCTCGCCTCGCTGCTGGTTGGGCATATACCGAGTGGCCACCTTGGTAAAGTATTCGTCCACATGTTGGGCGAAATCCTGAGCATATTTGGCCTCCTCCGACGATAGACGCTTGTCAGCCGCATCACGTGTCTCATCCTGGTTGATGATGTGCTGGGTAAAGGCTTCGATTTTTTGCAAGCGACATCGTAAATAACTGGCCATGATATATCGTATGCGCTCCAGTTCCATCTGGTGCACCACAAAGCGAAAATCATTCTTGTCCAGATCCTTCATTTGCTCTTCCATGTGTGCCACCTGTGAGAGCATCAGCTCCAGCATGTCCGTCTGATGTTGCAGCAATTCCGGGGCACACATTTCATTTGTCCAAGCTGTTTCGAGTATATCCAGTACCTGCGCGTAAATGCAACAAGTGACGACAGAGTTTATATGCAAGGTAGTCGCCTCACCTTTTGTGCGGTAATTGGTTCCGCATCCTCGTCTTCATCGTCATCTTCATTGACATCTGCTAAGGCAGCTTCCGTGCTCAAGTCATGCTCATTTAAAGCTTGCTCCAGATTTTCGCTGTCAGACATAATTTCCGTTTTGCAGTTTATGGCGCGTCGGCATGTAAACAAAAGGCACAGCTGTCGGCGCGTATATTTACATGTGAATGTCAAGGGATTATTCACAATTGCACAACACTGGCAAGGCACACGATGGCAGCGACGACAACTCAAACCGAATTCCAAAAGAATTTTCGCTTAATTGTTGAAAGAATCTTTAACAATTGGCAAAATCTGCGCTTGGCCGTCGAGCATGGGATGGGCGGACGCAATGGCCAGCAGGTGGGAGCACATCGCATTCTATTCGCACACAATTTCTAACCTAACAATACCGCAGATGGCCATACAAATCATGGACTACACATATGAGTACTGCGTGGGCAACGAGAACATAACGCAGGGTGAGCTGCAGGAGGTGATTGAAGAGCTGATGGATCAGGAATTTAATACGCTGTGCGACGATCACTCCATACCCGAAATATGCCGCAATCTGCTGCGTTACAAGCAAATGGCGCTGGCCTCCCAGTACCCACAGATCGAAACAGAGCTCAGCAAATTGCCGCAGGGCAAAGATTGGCTCCGACCCGATGTCAAAATAACATACACTCCCATTGAAGGGGACTCGTCATCCGACGAGGACATGGACGACGATGAAGAGGATGCTGACGATGACATGAATGCTGCTGAGAGCGACGAGGACGCGGTCGCAACAAGCAGCGGCCGTGTAACACGTTCCCAGACGCGCAAGCAACAAACGGAATCGTTTGTGGAGCCAGAAGAAGGGTGGACGACAGTGCGTCGAAAGTAAATATAGGGGAGTTATAATAGTTAGTTATAATATGTGGCGTTTACTTCTTGCAAGTCTAGAAATCTTAGGGGAGGTATGGGCGAGCGAGTCTTTGCCATGTGCTCCGTTTCGCACAGATTACACTGGATTGCTGGTAATGCATTCCGATGGGCCGTCGTTACGGAGCGTTGACATTGCAGTTGTGACCAAGATGTGAACTGTGCGCCCTTAGGTAGTACTAGCTTAAGATCGACAACCGACGCAATCGAATCGATATTAGGCGTCAGTGAGAGATTAATTGCCGGATAAATGATGACGGCAAAGAAGGCACACACCAGAATTAGCACCGGCACAAACACAGCAAAATACTTGTCCGGCAGATACGAGTGCAGGCCCAGCTCCACGGGCAGGAAGGCCCACGCCACATATACAAAAAATAATACGGTGAACAGTATATAAAATGCAAAACCGTAAATAGCTCTATGCGGTGTGGGCGCTGGACTGTGTTCCGGCATTGTTCTTTAGTTGCGTTTCGGTTTCGGATTGTTCTGGGCCAAACAATTTGATGGTATCCTGGCAGAGCAGCAGGCACTCAAAGAACGACGTTATGGCGGTGCGCAGATTTTTCACTTGATCGGCACTAAAGTGCACCACTAGCACATCGTCCTCCAGGCTCAACGTTTTTTGCACAAAGTTTCTGCGTGGCTCCTGATCCACACTCAACACGCGATATGCTATCTTGGCATGCTCTGGCGTATCAAATGGCACTTTTATTGTGCTGTAAGTTTATAATGCTGTGAAATCATGTTAACTATAAAAATAAGTTATTTATTATATACGTACGATTCATTAGGTTTACTGACATTCGCTTGCTGTGGCATCGTAATTTTTTAATACATATAACAGCAGCAGCAGTTGCACATGCTGTCCGTTAAAACGGTGAATGGCAACGCCTAAAAAGTTACCAAGCCGCTCAGCTGTTTTTCTTAGCATAGACATGAACCCCCCAACGGCCAACTACATATTACCAACAAAAATTTTAAATTTTTCCAACTTGTATTTTCTTTATTACAAAATGCTTCCACGTCCAATTCTTAAGTCAATGAATATCCTACACATATTTACTTCTTGGACTTTACGGCGCCCTTGGGTGCGGGCTTCTTGGATGCAGTTTTGACAGCTGACTTGCCACCGGTCTTGCCAGCGGGCTTCTTGGTAGCCGCCGCTTTGGTGGGCTTCTTCTCCACCTTCTTGACGGGCTTGACGAGCGCCTCGCGCTGGCTCTTCAGCGCCTTGACAATCTTCTGCTCCTCGATGAGGAAGGCACGCACAATACGCTCACGCAGGCAGCCGTGGCACAAGACACCGCCGTATGTGCGGGATACGGTCTTGTGGCGCTTAGAAAGGCGTGGACGCTCGCTTGGGCGCGATGGGGTGATACCCTTAAGCTTCTCTTTGCACTGGCCGCAGCGTGGCACAGTCTTGTTCTTCTTTACGTATTGGTAGACCAGACGGCCACCGGGAGTGCGCACACTGTAAACAAGCGTCTGATTAGATTACAACAACAAAACCATACGCTTTGGACACTTACATGCGCCTCCTGTTGGATCTGGTGTTGTACGACAGGCGTCTCCTCAAAGTCAAGCGTTGGACCATATTGCGGCTGCTTTAATTTGAATTTTCAGTTTCAATTGGGATTTCAATAAGTCGGCACAATTAGGAAGTTCCGATTAAACGAGCATAAAAATAGGGGAAAAAACAATGCAATTTACATAAGTTAGTTGTAACGTCATAGAACGAATATTTGTCAAACATTGTGTATTGCAATTAGCAAAAATTTATTAGCCGTTTTGCGGATGTTCACAGATTATTTGACAAATTCACAAAAAGCAAGCTTTACATACTTGTAGTAAAAAACCAAAAGAGGGAAAGAAGAAGCAAATCAACGTGAAGTGGGCTGCTTGGCATGCAAAAAAGGTGTTGATAAGTAACAACAGAAACAGCTTAGTATTTCTTGCACAATTTTTGAAAAATGGTAACACTTTTGTTGCAACTGGCGAGCATATCAACCTATTTGTTTATGCGACATTTTTAAATTATTGTTAATTGAGTAAGAGTGTGCATGTTTTCTTGTACACATCTCTAAAAACTCTCTTAGTTTGGATGAAGTCTTAACTTTCCTTTAGTATATTTTGTATAAGTTACTCTGGTCACACCATTTAGTATTTATATTGCCGTTCGCGGTCATACTTGGCCCACGCTTCTCCATTCCTCTCGCCGATTCCTAGATCATAGCCGGCAATAACGACCATAACAATGAGTTTCCTTAAGCCCAAAACACACATAGAGCAAGGCGACATTGTCATTCTCTATCTGAGCGTGAACTCCATGCACGCCATCGAAGCGGTGCCGACGATAGTAAACAAAAAAGGCGAAACCATTGCGAACATCTTCCAGACGCCCTACGGCTCACTTAAAGTACAAAGTAGGTGTTTACAATATACAATAGCTAGGTGTTGATAACTAATATCTATGTGTATCGCGGACAGGTATTATTGGGGTGGAGTATGGCAGTCGCGTGGAGCTGTCCAAAGGCTGGGCGCACGTGTTGCAGCCAAATCCGGAACTGTGGACGCAGACGCTGCCACATCGCACACAAATTATATACACGCCTGACATAAGCATGATACTTCATCAGCTGGAGGTACGACCCGGCGCAGTGATTGTTGAGTCTGGCACTGGGTCCGGGTCCTTGTCGCACTATTTTCTGCGCGCACTAAAGCCCACGGGTCGCCTGCACACTTTCGACTTCCATGAGGCGCGAGCAGATCAGGCGCGCGACGAGTTCAAGCGACACGGACTAGGCGACTTTGTAACGGTTTATCACAGAGATGTGTGCAATTTGGGCTTCACCAGTGAGCTGGATGGTGCGGCTGATGCGGTGTTTTTGGATCTACCCGCGCCGGATTTGGCGGTGCCACATGCATTCAAGGCGTTGAAGTTGTCGGGTAAGTGAAATGCGACTGCCCGGTCAGCGCTTGACAACAAGTTGTCAGCGCCCTTTGGCGCGGCAGCCGACAGCGGCAGCCGCAATCAAGACTTGGCTTGGTCAGTCAGTTGTCTCCCTCACTGTATCCATCTCCCTCTCTCATTCTCTCTGTCTGTCTGTCTTGGCCATTTCATTGTGTTTGACATTGAATGCGCCCGCTTTTGGCAGTTGACGTGGTCAGGCAGCCCCGTTGGGCAGCTTTGTCACTCATTAGTGAAACCAACTGCGCGCTGCACCATTCCAGCCGTGATTTCTATAGGAATGTCGGTATCGTATGGGTATATCGATGTATGGAAACCATAGTAAGTGGTATAATATGATAATTGCATCGGGATGCAATATTAACATCAATTTCAAGCAATACTAAATATGCTAAAGACTTATATAAAGTGTTTTATAGCTAGTATAAATTATTATAAGTTTGTACTTAAATGAGAAACGCGTAGGAGCCCTCTTCGACACCATAAAGTGCATATATTATGTCTATAGATGCTTCTAAATGATTAACTAGTCTTTTAATATTAAAGCTTTCGTTGTGAAACCTTGCATAGAACTTCTTTTTGTTTTATATTGTTTATATGTCGGAACCTTTCGAATCGGAGTATTAGATCATAGAGTTTTCCACAAGAACGACCTGTCGATAATTCTTGTATAAACACCTTTTTTTAAAAACAACTGGAACCAACGACTTATTTATCATTCCCACCATATGTCATGAATATCATGTGTTATAGAAAAAATCGGTCGAAAAATAAGTTTTTGTAATGGGCTTTTAATCTTCAGCGTACAGACACAAACACAGAAACAACTTTTATCTTCGGGGTGTCAAAGATTTAATAATAAATAAAACAAAAAGACAAATCTATGTAGGGTTTTGTTAGGACAGCTTTAAAACTTGGGATGAATCTTCTATCTGGTTTATTGGCTCATAAAGTACATATATCTTCGTTATAATTCCAGGCGGTCGCTTTTGTTCGTTCTCACCGTGCATAGAACAGTCGCAGCGCTGCATAAATGTGCTCACCAAGCTGGGCTTCAACGAGATATGCTCAATGGAGGTACTGCAACAGGAGAGTGTGATCAAAACCCGTTCACTGCCGGTCATCGATTTGGAGTTTCTCAAAGCACCTAAAAGCACAGAGAGAAATCCAAATGACGACATCAAATCAAAGGAACCCAAGGAGCTGAAAAAGTATTTAACCTCCAGTAATCCTCAAGTGCTGCCCGGTCATACGGGCTTTCTCACCTTTGCCACCCTGCCGCCCAACATACCCAAAGCTTAAATGTCGTTTGTTTAATAAATTTGTAGTTCCTTTTATTTGCCTGCTGAATTGTTATTCATAGTCAAAGGAGTAATCATCGAAGAGTTTACGCTCCATGCTCTTGACGCCGCCGCAGTGATAGCAGCGCTGTTGCTGCTTCTGTTGTTTGCGGCTAGAGGATTTGCGCGGCATCGCCCAGGGCAGCCGTTGCTCCGGTATGGCTACTTGAGTGCGCTCCGGATTGCCACTGCACGTGGGACAGCGGCTTACAACGGACGGCTTGGACAACATGCCATAGAGCACGGGACCAGGTGGCTGCACGCCGTAAATGGTGACAATCTGTGGCAGGCTGGAGTAAGGGCGTGTCGGAAACAGCTTCTCCCGGTTGAGAAAACTATGGTAAGTGGGGAAACTGTTAGTACAATAGATTTGTTTTGGTGTTTGCTCTTCTTTTTGTATACTTGGGTCTCGGTTCCAGCCACAGGTTATTCATGCGCTTGCTGCTCATGATATCGCCCAGCTTCTGCAGTAGACGTAGATTTTCACGTTCGATTTGCTGCTGGCGCTCCCGTTCGTTCTGCTGCTTCTTCCACTTGCGCTGCACATGATCGTGCTGGCGCGGCGACTTGGTATCAATCGCTGGACGTGCGGACATCACTTTCTCGCGATGCTGTGCATAGCGCAGCTGCTCCCAGGGCTGCTGCAGCAATTTGTCGCGTCTCGAGATCATTGTCTGCCGTTATTGCAACTGAAATGGAGCTGCTGACGCTCGGATTGGGATTGGGGGCTTGCTATTTTTTTGTTTTTGGTGTATCGGCCGGCATGTTTACAGGCACAAACAAACATTGGTGCGTCCATAACAACCTTGCCAGGACAACGCGCGCACTCGTCGTCGTCAGCCACTCTACAAATATTGCACAATCATGCTCGCAGATTAAGTTCAACGACGGCGGCGGCCGCTTTGCTCAGCTGTCCCGCCTGTCTATCCAAACAGTGACATCCCCAGACTTGACTTGCAAATTTGCGGTCCAAGCGGCTGTGTTACATAATTCTCAATGCATGGGGTTCTGGTTCTGCTCTATTCTATTCCTGCTGCTGCTGCTGCTGCCGCTGCTTGTTAGACAGCCGGCGGCCCGGTTACCGGATCCCAGTTTCTGTGTAGTAGCCGCTTCACTTGGTGTGGCGGCAAATGTTCTTTATTCTTTCAGCATTTTCAACTGTAGCTGCTGCTGCTGCTGCTGTTGCTGCCTGTTGCTCATATGTCAACTGGCAACTCAGCTGCTGCCGTTCTAAACTCTTGTTTAGTGTTTGATTGATGCTAAGTGTTTGTGCCTAGCTCATATTTAAGTACTTAATGCTCATACCAAGTTTTCAATAATTTCCCATTAAACATTATTTGGTAAGTGGTTCTAAAAGGAGCTTCATAACTAAAATCCGAAATTTAAGAATGCTTTTTTAAGTATCTGCCGATTTATTTATTGTAACAGATACTGAAACACGAATACTTAGACTTTTGACAGTACGTCATACAAGAAACTTGGCTTCTCTCAGGAACTTTCATCCGAATTTGAAGGAATAAACGAATTGAATTGAATTATTTATCTCTTCAGCTATCTAGTTTTAAAATTTAGCTTAATGTCTAATGACATTTATAAACTATAAAATAATTACAAAATCTTTCCATTAGTCACTTGGATTTTTTAATTTTTCCAAGCACCTCTCCTTACACTTCTTTTGTTTTGTTCAACTCAACAGAGAATAATCTCCCCTTTTTTAATAATTTAATTATAAGTTATAAAAGTTTCAGATCTGCCTTAAAAATCATATCGAACGATATTTATTGGCGCCATCTGTGGGCCAACATGTAAACTTTTCGACTGAGCAAAGCGTGATGTATCCACGAAAAAAAGAATATAATACTTTAATCATTATTGCCAAATACACTTATTTATGCAATTTAATCTTAAAATGTTAAATTCATACGATTTTTCTTAACGAATCATTACAGGCCCTTTAGAACTTCTTATTGTTGCCAAACAAAATAGTTAAGATTTCTTGGTAATATGATTTGCTATTTGTAGTTAGGTTTTGTTAAAGCTAAATTATTGTGTGTATATGTCTATTCTATATAATATTCCTGTCAAAAGTCTCAGCAATTGTTCTGCTTTGAGTTTATTAGCCCCCTGTTGGGGCGTCTTACAAATGCGTCTATTGTTTTTGTCTGCGTCCATGTTGCAGCTACATTGCGTGCTGTTGTTGTTGCTGCTGTTGTTACCAACAAGTTGCTGGCTAACTGGGCAACAGTTTGTTGCTGTTGTTGCCATTGGGCGTGAGTTTGCACTATTATCAAATTAAAAGCAACGCCGCTTATTGGTCAGTTAATTGGAAGATCTGTAATTTGATACTGGTAACGTGTTGCTTATCACAGCTCTCGTTGTGGTGCCTCATTGTTGTATTTGTGTTTGTACAATTATCTTGTTAGCTGATCGACAACTGTAACGGATTGCCATTCAGCTATGCCCATACCACAAATACCCACAACCATGACCACTATGACGACTACTACCAGGCATCGATTCCACTCTCGGCCTAACTCAGCATTTATGTATTTTACATTGCTGTCGGGCAGCGTTTGACTCGTCACAACTAAACACCTGCTTATTTGCGCATAAATTTCCGATAGAAATGCTCATATTTATTGAAAATACTTGTATTTATAAAATGGCATATAATTGCGCTGTTGTTTTGTTGTTGTTGCTGATGCGGTGTGTTTGTGTGTGTGTGTTTGAGTATGTGTGTTAGGGGGGTGCAGCGCTGCCCGCGAGCAATGTGGCCAGTTTCTCACCTTTAGAAGCCGACCAGCAGTCGCAGATGGCGAGCCAAAACAAAAAAAAAAATAAAAATTATGATGCCAGAGGTTGACTCTGCTCTTGGGTTGGTCACAATGAAACCTTGAATATACTACAAAGCTCAGCAGAGAATTTGATATGTAAAGCTTATAAGAATTATATTTAAATGGTTAATGAAACAGCACTTAATCCTTATCTATTATGCTTCACAAGTTATCACAAGTTAAGAGGCTAAGACACATTTTCAGGATTTTTCAAATATTTACTAATCAATTAAATAACGCCAAAATGATAACGGAATATTGTCATATATTGTCATTCTGGGAGAGGCGGCAAGGTGTTCAAGCAATTGACAATGCCCAATTATTGTAGTGTGCGCGAGCTAAGTTTTGGGTTAGTACTCGCATATCATATACAAAGTGCATACAATAACAGGCCTGTCCATTTATTACAATATGCGCCGGCAACGCCAGGCAACAACAGCAACAGTCGAAAACTGCGATTTGCTGTCAGCTAATAATAATAATTTCGATATTGAAAATACGTTTTCTTAGTTAGGTACGACACTAAACGATTTCGCCCATTCGGAGCGTTCGAGCGGACAGTGCTAAAAGTCAGGCAAGCACTGCCAGCAATAACAACAGCTACACTTGCAACAGGGCAACGTGCAACGGGCAATACCAACAGGCAACAGAATCGGGCAACGTGCAACGGGCAATGGGCAATGGGCACAAAGTTGACCGTTGGTGGGGGCGGTGCTATTTGCTGCTGCTTCTTCTTCAAGCGTTTTGCAGACAGGTGGTGTGTGGTGTCGATGTTGCTGGGTCGCGCTCGCCTGGTGTTCAATATGAGCCACAATTGAGGCATTTAATCGAGCATCTCTTAACACGCCTTGGAATGTTGACTTATTATTGGCCATGCAGCCAAATGCTGCAGTTGCCGTTGCCGTTGCCATCGTCGTTGTTGGCTGTTGCCGCTTGTTGCCGCCGTTGCCAGTTGCCAGTCGATCGCTCTCTCTCCGGTTACGGTTCGAGCTGCATTGGTGTGGGCATCGGTTGTGTCTGCGTCGGTGTCAGAAGTCTGTAGTTACCTCACAGTAAAAGCGTTTATCATCATTAGACTCAATCTAAAGACGTTTTGGCTGGGGTTATCATGTTGATTATGTTGTGTGAAAACAAATTACATTTTGCGCTCAGGCTTTAACACCATTTGTATGCGCCAATGTTGTCGTTGTTGCTGTCAGTATGTTGCTGCTAATGCTGCTGCTGCTGCTGACTCTGCTGACTCTGCTTCTGGCTAATTGTGAATCTGCTCGAAAGATTCAATTGTGCCATTGACAAACCAATTGGTTGCTCAATTTTGTGAAAGGCTTTTACCCGCTCTCTGGGCCGTGAGAAAATTGCAAATCAAAAATATTTCTGATATTGGCAATAATTGCTTGCAAAAATTGTGCTGGCAGCAACAAAAGCAAAAACAACGCCAACAAAATATGAGAAAGAACTTGGCAATAATTTAGCTTTTTGAGCTTGTCTAAGGCACAGCTGTGTTCTATATTGTTGTTGTTGTTGTTATTGTTCTTGCTGCAGCTGCAGGCCTGCCACTTGCAACAGCAGCAACAACAGCAAAGCCAAAGCCTGGCCCTGACCGTCTGATAACACTAAGCTACAAACAAAGTATTAAATTACATATTAACCAAATTAATATGCTTGCATAGTTCCCATATAAATTTAGATCTATAAATATGTTGCTTATTTTCGTTTTGAATATTTGTATACAATCAGTCAGACTGGCAACATTCAGTTAAATGCTTTCTACTATATCTGAAATAGTTTTTAGAATGTTGAAGCAATTATTACTTTTCATTCGTTTATTCAATTTATAATCTTTCCACATGGTTGCGCAGTGTATTTCATTGTCGTGGCTTGGAAAACTAAAAGCGAACTTGATTTCGACCGGCCAATAAACATTTTTATGCACTTTTAAATTGTAATGTTTGTTGTCGCTGCTGTTGTTGTTGCTGTTGTTGTTGCTACGATAACGTTTTTAGATTTGTGCCACACACAAATACACACACACACTCAGGCCGTTAACTACTTATCGAGGGTCAATGTCACACCTTGACGCCTTCGCCAACATACTTTGGCTGACTTTTTGTCACAATTTATTACATTTGGCTATATCTTGAGTGTGTGTGTGTGTGTGTGTGT